GCCGATTGCCGCAGGTCTCGGGTTTCGTGATGTGATTCTCTGGCGTTGAGTGTGGAAGGCTGCTGCGGCCTGTGGTTAATAATAGATAACGTATTGGTTATGCTTCGTAGGCACTGCATAGATCTCTTGTTCGTTAGACCGCTTTAGTCTCTTAAGCCTTTAATTCTAGTAAATACCTCGATCTTCGAGCTTTCGTGCGGAGACTAGGTTCGTAGCGAATTCGGGACAGTAGGTAGCATTCTTTAACCTAAGCCTCTATATGCTACTGTCTGTACGAGTAGTCGGGAGATAAATCGTGCCGTAGGCTCGGATAGGCACCTCTGACGTGCCCGCGATAATAACCTCGTCTGCCGAGGCTTTCCTGATGTTCTTGAACCAGTTGAGGTTGTTGAAGATGTGTAGCGTGGCTCCTGAGTCAAGGATCGCGGAGTTGACTAGCGGGTATGATAAACTTGCTTCGAAGGCTTGGTTGATCACCCACACGCTGTGCACTGTCCTTACGATCCTGCTCGTGCCACTTGTTTGTTATTATAGACTTATTGATCTTTTCGTTATTGTGATTTCGTCTACTTTCTTCCGTAGCTTAGGGTCGGCTTCGATCGCTCTTTCGGCCTTGCGGGCTAGGTAGTCGTTCCTCGTAACACCTTGGGGCCGTTGATTTTCAAAGATATGCCAGCAAGATAATAAGCTATGCTATATCTTTCCACAGGCTTCATATCTAGTGCTTGCCTTGCCTGATGATCTTCCGGCTGACGTATGAGCCCTCTGCCTTTTGCGCCCTTGTGGTGCTTCGGTCTCAGTCTCTTCATCGTCAACAGCTCCGTCTGCTAGGAACGCTCCTCCTCGTACCGCTCGCGGCTTGATCTTATAGCGCTGGGTCTATAGCCATTCCCTTAGCTCTTGTGTAACCTTCCTATGTGTATAGATCATTGGATCGGATGCTAGGGATATGGCGTCGCCTGTGGGCAGCTGGATGGCCGTAATTGATCCAGCCGGTAACTGATATCTAGCCTCTTGACTGATAACCTGCTGTGAAACCTCGTCTAGCCGGATAGCTGCGCTCAGGAATACTTGTGTATAGGTTGTTGTTATCGGCTCAATCGCTATTGCAATATCTCGTAGCCACTGGCCACTATACGTCACTGGCAGCTTGTATCGGAATGCCTTCGTGATCACATCTTCCTATCGGTCTAGCCACTGGGGTAGGCTCTTGAGATCTTGTGGTCCTCTGAGGGCTTCGCTGTATTTACTTATAGTTTCTCTAGGCATAAACCCCTGTGTTGGTCTTATTGATTCGTATAGTTGCTTTATCACCTCGGCCGGACTCTCGACGTCTTGTATTATTGTTCGAAGTCTCTCGCTGATCGTCGTGATAATAGCCTCGCGGGCTTTCTTCAGCTCTACTTTCTGCTCTTTGAAGTCTCGAAGGTCTTGTTCGTAGCTCTTGTGGAGGATCTCGTACGCCTTCATCTGGTTGGTGGATAGGTTCGCAATGCTTGTGATGTGCGTAGCTACGTCCGAGGCCGTTGGTCTGATCGGCTTGCTAAGAACCTCTCCTTCTGGCTCGATCGGTCGGATAAGACGCCAGGTATCGGGATCTAGCTTATTTCGTAGGATAGTAATCCAGTCGTCCTAATTCTCAGGGCCCGTTAGGACAACTATAGCCCTTCCTGCCTCGGTCGCGCGGTCGGTGGCCATCGTGTGGGTGTTGCGTTGGAAACACCAAGAATGTAGTGTGCAGATAGTGATCTAGTAGCTTGAATAGCTTCAGTTGATGCACTTGTGACGGCGGAAGCGATACCGGGCTCATAACTGTCACAAGGCCTGATTGTGTTGTATTGATTGATGTTCTGATCGAGTGTCCCACAAAATCCCTCAAGCTGTAAGCTCCTTACAAAATCCTTCATAGATCCACACCACACCAGCCACACATTATCCACACGCTATCCAACAGCTCGCGACGTGCCTGCGTTAGACGGCATTCATTAGGTTACAATACCTTGGTCCCGGGTTTCTGCATGTCTCAGCTAATAGATTGTCTCGGACTTGCACGCACACCGCTGCTGACCTAGCTTAGCTATCAACACAGCTCTCAATATATGCATTGCATTAAATACAATACACGGCCACAACCCAACAGAATCACTCAACTACATGTACTCATCCATTAGTAGGTGTTCTTTAATAACAACGACCTCTGCACTACCTCCCCGCAAGAGCGAGCATCATAGTGGAAGAGACACTTCCGACAGAGCGGCTTCCATTTATTTCAACTGCTCTATCTTGTTTCGAAGGTTAGGTACATTATGCAGGACTCTCGATTTACCGCGAACTTGGAGATTCAAGAGCCGAAGTGGATATGCTATCACTCAACAGCTACAGTCGTAGTCTCATTGCGTTGTTTCGCTTCGATGGAACAGGTACTCTATTCCACGAAGGGCATCTTCCAGGAGAGAACTTGCAGAAATATATCCCTCGGGACCAAAGCCTCACTCCCTACCAACCAGTGAGACAATGAGCCGACGATGCTGAGGCCCAAAGGGTCCCACGAGTCAAATGAAGATGACTCGGGGGACAGATACTCCGGAAATATTAATCTGTATATAGGGAGAAATATCTATAATATCTGGTCAGCTCGTCAGTCGCGAGGACTGTGTCGAAGGAGTAGTATAGTACCGTTTCTGCTAGATCGAAAAAAGATCCTACAAGGAAATAGAACACCACCTGGTCGAGAAGCGTGGGCTCACTGGGACTTATTTTGTGACTCGTGTTTGACTGCCAAATAGAGGCGCAGGTTGCTCCAGGTCCGTTCATCTTATGAAGAGCACTATTGAGCGTTGTCCCGAGGAGACCGATAATGACCGTAAAGCCGATTTGGTAGCACAGAAAGGCCATGAATGAAAGGATAAAAAAAATACGGTCGGCGAATCGACATTCGAGTGCCCATGAGGAGATTTATTACATGAGCTTGGTCGAGATATCTTCGCTGGAGTCTTTTGTTAGTTGCCTACCTATATATACTTGGCCGACTGAAACTCACATTTTGCCTGATGGCCTCTAACGTGGCCACAGCAGTGAAGGCAAGCATTTTATGGGTGACCCCTTGGATGTAGGACTGCAAATTGTCTCTTGTCGATGAATAATCGTCTGCGACAACACCCAAGCAGACCATCAAGCATGCTGTAGCGACGAAGTGACATGAGGCCCGCCAGTGGCAGTGAGGGCGAATTTGAGGCCCAGCGGAGGTGATGTAGATTCCCCAGGCCAGGAGAGGATAGAGTAATCCACGAAAAATAGACTGGCTGCATCCCATGGTAGATGCAAGCGCATGATAAGCGACCGCAGCAATGGCTGAGACAGCGCAGAAGGAGATGTGATGTTTGGCGGATAACATGGTGGATGGCGGGGATTGAGGATGCCCGTGCGATATGAGATACGGAAGATGGTCGACATTTTGAATACGGGGGACTGGGGATTAAAAGAGAATTCTTTTATTTTTGTGTATATATATCAGGTATGATGATAGCGTTTTGCGTTTTCCCGTCGTGAACTTAAAAACCACCAGACTCATTAGACTTCGATGCACGTCTACTTATAAAACGGCAAAAAAGGGGGCAAACACATATAATAGCCCGTGTCCTAACTATTGCTCTTGTCTATGGGAATAATGCTTTTCGAAGGGGAATGAAATCCCTTTAGAACAGAAACAAACGTCGCCGGGAAAACATATCTGTCCGAAGTAACTATCGTTTACAACGGTATATAATAAGATAATATAGTGTTATTAGTAATACACTCTTAAACACCCAGTTCAGCTATATAATAACGGGTCATATTCAGACTGTAAAATAGCTGTCCTATGCAAAGAACCGTTTTTGAACTACACCTCAACGCATCTCCTCCCGCCTTTCTCATTCCATCCCCCACTCTCAACAACTCTCCACATCATCCGCCAGATCACGCCAAAGACACAGAGTCAACGAGTCGCTGACACTTAGCCTAGGACAGCTGAAGGCCAGAGTAAGAGTCGATAGCAGTCTGCAGTGTACCATCGAGAGAGTCGGCCTCTTTTTGCAGCGGTTGGGCGGCAGACTCAGCCATGTCGATGAGGGAGAAAGCAAGAGACTGTCCAGCGCGCACGTTGTCAGTAAATGGGCAGCGAGAGATGAAAGATGCAATCTTTGTGTGGACTTACATCGACAACACCCTCAACAGCACGAAGGACTGCCGCGACGGGTTGGCCGATAAAGGGAACCGTGCTAAAGAGACCAGACTTTCCAATGAGGATGTTCAGGAGCTCCTGGTGAACCTTGACAAACTGTGTGCACGAAGTTAGCCCCGATCATATTTTCCCGAAAAGTGACAAATGGTACTGACAGTTCGGAAGGATTCGAAAATAATGTCGGAATCCGCAGGGCTGTACTCTTCCGGGTTCATGCCGTTCAGGAAAGCAGTGCCAACGTTCACGATTTCGGTGAAGCCTTGAATGACAGGCTGATTCAGTTAGGTCAGTTGATACGGTCCCACCATGCGCGTGTCCACATGTGATCACTTACTGGGAAGTTGCCTTGGCCAGTGAGGAGAAGGGGTCCATCCAGGATGGAGAGCGACTTGGCAGGAGTCTGGAGGTCACGGGACAGTGCCGTAATCTGCCCAATGTTGTCGGCGACCTGCTGTGCAGGAATGCAAGAGGCAATGGTGGCCATGCCAGCGACGAGGAGGGCCGTGAAACGCATGTTGCTTGGATTGAGTTGCTGAGTAGGGTTGGCTGGAGGTTTGATGATCTGTTGTTCTTCTTGCGGGAGAAGAAAGGCGAGTGAAGAGAGATGTGCTTGTGAAGATGAGAAGATCAAAAGCGTCGGCTAGAGTTGGGTGACTGGTGTGTATTTATACGTGTCTCATCAGGACCGATTGCCTTCATCTGACAGAGACCCTCCCCCTTCACCGCCTTGTTCATGCGAACACAGAGACAACTGTACATCCCGAAGTGCTCAATCTTCATGTTCGTGACGATCAGTGCCGGCCGTGGCTGGAGCTTTCCCATGCAAGTCTCAGTTAGGTACTTTGCACGTACCCGACGGAGTGTGGAAACAAATTCGGTAGATTGAGAGCGTGTTCCTTCCAACGCATCATGTTGGTGGAGACTATGTGGTTGTGGAAATGGCGATGCGCAGACTAGGCCGGCATAAGCATCGTAGCCAAGGCGCCGGGGGCCGGGGTCCTGTCGGCAGCCAGGCCTGCCGACGGCCCGGGGCGGTAGTTGCGGTCGGCTCACGCAAAGATCGTCGTCGGAGTTACTCATCATGGCCGTCTAGTCCGATTAAGTGCCATGCTGCAGATCTTCACTGCTAGCACGGGGCTGAAGCTGATGGACCGCAGCTGAAGACATGGAGTCAACCCCAGCGACCGCTCCAGCATTTGGCGTTAGTTCTGCAGCGACGATCAGGTAGATGGATCGCAGCGCCCAAGCAATCGACGGCGCTAACGGTGAACAAAATCAACCGCACCAATGTCAGGCGATGAGAGACGTGATACTCCAATGCCCTAGCTGGCCTGGGTACGTGGTGCATACTGCCTGCCTATGGCCCTATTGGCTCGAGTTGAAATTATGAATGTTAGCTACCGTGGATCGTACATGAGGATCGACTTAGGCCCCCAGGACAGGACCTCATGCATGTCTCTTCACATCGCGATGGAAAGATATCATCCTGAAGATGATCATCGTGGACATGAAGGTAATGAGCTCAGGCGAAGGCTGCAGTAACTTGATGATGTTCCGCCAAGGGGAGACTGCGAAGGCGGTACGAGGCAAGATCGACGATAATGTAGTGAACATATTTTACTGGCGCCTTATCCGCCTCGAAGAGGCCAAGAGGCCACTTCGCAACCAAAGTGCCAATGCGGTTTGACCTAGTAGATCCGATGATAACGGCGAACTCCATAGTAGTGGGGATGGAGGGTGTAGAGCATAAACCATAGCTCTTAAGAACACTGGTGAATATACGATTGATTCTGCCCCCTTTATTAATACCCACCTTATCCTGATGAGTTTTGTGAAAGGATAAACTGCATGATTATTGTGTGCAAGCTCGCACTGCATGGTCGCCTGCATAGTCGCCTGGCGAATATTCGTGGTGGAACTTAGGCTATTTCAGGCATTCTATGAAGATGAGGATCAGGTTCTTAGTATTCAATGCAGAATGTTTCACCGCGATTGGACCTTCCCAGCCGTTATCCTCCTCCCCTTGTGGTTACTCGTCTTTGTGCGGTTTGCAATCCGAATGCTCATGGTCTAGAAGCCGTTCTGTGTACATTTGCTTGGCGCGTGAAAGACGGAGTATGATGAGTCCGGCGCCGCATGTAGGTTCTCGATAATAACTGGGAAATGGCCAGCCCTTTCAAGCCCTTTCGGGACAACGGCTAACCTCCAAGTGCTAGCTCATGCTTCGGCTGGCCACCTCTACGGTCAGCTACAGCAGCTAGACTCCTCAAAGGTCGTCCCAGATGTCACAGCCTATCCATCCGCGAGTTCGGCCGTCTCATTCCTAACAAAAAGACCCGGTGAATTTCCACCGCGATGTCGAACAGGCGGCCTCCTCACCGGGCAGCATGGTCCAGGGCGAATATTCTGCTACTGCGACGCGCAGTATCACCGTATCGGAGTCAGCCTGCACCAGACCCCCGTCAACTGCCCCTTCACGGCCAAGTTCTATTACCCCCTGAACTTCGATGGCCCGATGAGAGTTGACGCCATTCACGGGGGCAACAAACAGCACGTCCCCAACAGCTTTGCGCACAAGTTCCGCACGGACGCGGTGAAGGTGCCCTACGTGGTCGGCAACATCATCAGCCGGATGAGCCATTTCTGAGACGAGGATAAAACAAACGACTTTGACCAAGCGCGTGAGCAGTGGACCAGGGTGATGATTGACGAGCAGCGGAGCAACACCGTTGACATCACCGGCGAATATGTAAACAAAGTGCGGTTCACTGGTTAAAGATAGTTTAGAGATCACGTTTATGCTGTACGTGGGACTTTTTCTTCCTGGAAACGAAGTCGAACTACATTCCGCAACTGCACAACCCACGCGACCGACGCGCTCGTAGTCGCGCAATGGGTGCACGTCCAGGTGAGCCGGAACGGAGGATTTGACGCAAGTATCTGCTCTGTTCCCGGGGGACACCGGGTGGATTCTGCGATATACGACGTGTCTGTCCCTCAAGAGGCGCTCCATCATCTGGCTGCATGTTCGATGGCTAATGTGGACGGCCTTGGTATTTATTAACCACTTTCTCAAAGACAAGTCACATTCTGGCTGAGCGTCCAGGACTGATCGAAGCATCAGAGAAACCTGCATCACATACTCTCCTCTTGTTTCGGGGGTTAGGTTAAGAAGCATCGGTGGACAACTTCCCGGGTCTACGCACTTCTGTGCTGGACAATGGTGAAGTTCCGAATAGTCCTATCAAGCACATTGAAGACCCCATAGTTAGATATTTCATAGTTGAACTAGAACTACTGAAAGGTGTAATATTTGTAAGAGGACTCGTGGCAAGGACAACGGCGAAAAGGATTGAGGAACACAGAGGATTGTCAACTCTCTTTGCTCGGTCAATCCTGTGGATAGATTACTATGAAGGAAGTTGTTAAGTATTTTGAAGATGGGTATATAGATTGGCTGATCAGCCCCGCCAAGCGCAAGCTAGCTCATGGAGAGACCGTGGTTATGCGGGGCTCTTGTTCCCGTCGATCGCGGCTCAGCTTATTCGCCTACTACCGTCCATGGCCTCCTATGTTAGCAAAGAGATCGAATCTGATCTTGCTATTCACCATAAATCTCTAAAAGAACCAGTTCGAACAACGCAAGACAAAGATTAGAAAGACCAGGCCTGACCAGGCCGTACTCTATTAACGCGCTATGAGTGAGCCTGTTTCCTAGCGAACATAGCTTAGAGAAATCCTTTTGTATTTCGAATTTTAGAGCTGATAGAGGTTTAGAGAGGACTTCTAGATAGGCATTACCTTCCTCCAGGGACAAATTACACCGATTGCGAGGCGATAACGCTCAGCAGTAGGGGAAAAGTCATTGCATTCAAAGATTAGAGCACGGGACCTCAGCAACGCTATGCTTTCAGGCCTCTCGATTGGATAAATAATCTGTGATTTTCTTCCTTTTAGTTGTCTGATTCCCTAAGCCTTCCACGTCCACCAACGACTATGTGTAGTTGTGAGACCCCCTGTTCACTACAACAGTCCGAGATAATCGCCCTATAGAAGTCACATGGAAGTTACCTTGATTAGCAAAGGCTATCCCTATAATAAGTTGTTAGCATGAGCGATGGATTATTAGTATACCAATAGGTAAATGACTCACATGTCACAGTTCCAGCAAAATTCACCCGGGCCATTGCAGTACACAGTACCAGTAGTAACCCCCGGTATCTCTGTACCGTCTTCGCAGACGATAGTACAGCCATTCTGGCATTCATCACCAGAGGCAACTTTCTGTCGATGGTTTAGTCAACGAGCTTCAAATATCGAGGAGTTTTCTCTCAATGTCAGAACCTATGGGACTTACATTTAAGCAACCATCTCCTGGCGGGGGGTCGCCGCCGCCACCCCCATTGTTCGGGCAGCCTACGCCAGCTTCCCCGTCACAGCAAGGCTCACAAAATGCTAGGCTAGCCCTTTTGTAAGTATAAAGTAAACCGTAGAGAACTTGGGAAACGTACCACGCGGCAATTGAACCGGGCAGGGGATTGAGACATGTCGCAGGGCTCGACGATGCGCATCTAGAAAACGCTGCGGGATCCCCACAGCCAGCAGGGGGTGCGAGAAATTGTCTCTTTTCGCTGTGGCTAGGCGATGCGAGAGTAGTGCTGACGAAGAGGGCGAGAAGACTAAATCCTTTGAGAGAAGGCATGGTTGTATGTATTGAAGGAATAACTTCAAATGAAGATGTAGTGATAGTTGTTGTTGAGAGGAGATGGAGACTGCCTTTCCTAGCACAATGGCTCTTTTATACTTCTCCTTCCTCCGTATATCCTCAGAGCTCATTCAAGATATTAGCTCGCCAAGAGACTCGGTTACGGGAGAGGTAGCCCGCATACGTAAAGATCTAGAATGAAGGATCATTAGGAATCTTGGCAATCGTCATAAACTATACTGGGGTAGGTCGCGAAGAGACTTGATTGAAGCATAAGAAGCCGGCATACGTAGAGACCCTCTAAAGGATCATTCTGAACCTTGGCAATCGTCATAAACCACGAAGGCTGAAGGCCGAGGAGGCTAGATAGACTGAAGCTCGCCTCGGCCTCTATTCTTTTATTTCCTACACACGTGGATCGGGCAAATGGTTCCTGACGCAATTGTTATGTTTGCTTGTGGCAGGTTTCTGGTAATGAGGTAATTGGAAACTGGTAATGGAACGAGCTTGTTTCGCATGAGGATCGGTACAGCGAGGTTGTGATGCCTGCCTATAACAATGCAGACGCAGCTTGGCAACCCAGGCGCCGCGGCAAGAGACATCTGACTTGTCGGCCGTTTTCACAAGCGACCATTTTGACCAGATGTATTGTTCCAGCGCTTTGGGCCCACCAAGTGAAAAGTCTCGCGTCAGTTCGAGACTGGATCTCCTTGGGAGGCTGATGATGAAGTTGAAGAACTAGATGCAGCTGATGATATTATTAAGTTTATTGGAGGAGATTGGTGACGAGTTTCGGACGGGTGAAGCGCCCTTCCCATCTAACGAAGACACCCCTGATGAAGCATAGCTTGAGATTGCGAGGCATTCCGAGGAATGAGATTCTTGATTTGAAGGTATAATTGTTAATTGAGCTGCTATGCAAATGAATGATTGCGTATCCTGCACAAGAACACGCCGGGCTGGCTAGCTAGCCTGGACGTTAAGATGCTGTGTGGTCCTTCAACTCCATGCAGTAGTGTACCTCCAGACTTCCCTTCTTTCGCTGCCCCAGAAACTTCTCGTTAAATTCCAGATGGATTATCGCCTAGGTCCGCCCGCCTGACCCTTCTTTTAAACTAGTAATTGACTTACTCTCCGCCGACGTATAGGTAGCACTTAAGGCTACGTATCCCCTAGGTAGTAATTCAAATTAGGATTCGATAAAGAGAGTAAGAAGGTATATAATATCGAGAGGGCGTTACTAGGTCGCTGTGAGTACGGGGTCGGCCTTAGCTCCCTTAAGGCTTATAATAACCTTAGTATATAATATATGTTTAATAAAGCGCCCTTTTTTTATAAATATTTTCTAGCGGCGGCATCTGTTCAATAATGCCACGGTTTGAGACCTGGCCTTAGCATGACGACGGGTGGTCCATAGTGATGCCATTGCTTCAGGCGTGGTTTTGAATGGAGGAGAAACAAGATAGGACCTGGAAGAGGAATAGCAACAGGCAATGCGCAACCTGGTCGTTTTGGCTTTGAGTTTTATTGCCCTTGTCTATTCTGATCAGCTTTATATGTAAGAAATTAAGCACGAATGTATGGTACCTCGTGCGAGAGATTGAGTCTATATGTATATCTATATATATATGTAGACCTGAAGTAGTTTAAGTATAGATTTACACTAGACTTGCAGACCTAGAAAATCAGTCTTCTATATTGAATATATCAATTCAAGTTACTGTATCACATGTACGACGTTACTCCCGCAAGCTCTTTATTTGCCTTCTCTTTGTTTCGACATTATCTATGATTTCTGTTGTCGTGAAGCGTCCGACCACTCCTAAGAGTAGTGCTTATCCTACCAACTAGATGGTTGCTTCAGGGAGCATGGTTTTCACATGAAAATAGGTCCCCTCGTCTGCCAAGTGAAGCTGACGCTACCAACAAGCCGGGATTTACGAAAGTAGAAGAGTAAGTGGCGAACTGAAAAGGCTTGGTTGATTAGTGATCCCTGCTGCTTATTTCGTTCCTAACTGCTAGATAGCGCAGGGCCGTAAGCATGGAGGATAGTATCAACTTCAATTGCAAGCAGAAAAAGCTGATCGTATCTCAAATACAGTCATTCGTTCCAATAAGGGCCGTGAAGTTCCCAAGTGCTTTTCGCATAGATATGCCGTGAAAAATGTATTCCATATTGTATAATGAACAAGGAAACCTTCTCGGAGTCAGAGTAGTATACAGAATGCGCTCTTCCACTCAGAAGCATGTTGTAATCTTTCTCTCGGGCAGCTCGCGTAGCAGGCGTAGACGGAGATGAAACCACCATGTGAGGTCCGGACTGCCAGCTATTCCTGACTTTGGTTTTCATATCCATGGTTCGCCTCCGAAATATACAACATCTTGGCCATCTCTAAGTATGGGGCCTCTTTTCATATTAATCATCACCATCCATCGTGTATAACGGGAGGATCACACTCGTCTTCTTTGTCTTCAGATTCCGAGCTCTCTTCCGCCATCTGCATCCGGGCCTTTAATATTGTCGTTTTAAAATGATAACATTGATGGATCCGATTTTCCATGTCCGGATTGACCTTGCTATTTGTGTCATCATCGAAGGATAGAATGATCGGTCCCTCAAACGAGTCGAGAAAGTCGACGAAAGATGAATGAACCCAAGCCATGTCCGGTGACGGCGAATACTGCAACATGGGCCAATTTCCTGAAAATGAACGATACAACTCCACCGTGTAGCAAGTTTCTTCAGCCTCTGAAGTGCAGACCTCAGATCCTGCTTGTTGTAGCTCAGTAGCCCAAAGTGGTAAAGCGGTCTTCCCACCATCCTGGAGATGATGCGGGCAGCGTCTGCCCTCCCCGGCGAACAAAAAGCAACGATGATCTTGTCCCGCAGTAGACCACCCGAGCTCTTTTCCTCTCCAAGGGCACCCTGAAGGCGGTTGAGCAAGTCCGTGAGTTGTGTGCGCGGGACATCGCCGAGCACTCGATCGCATACGGCCTGCGGATATGGTACCAGGTCTTTCATGTTGCGGACTAGCAACCTTTTCCAAACGTGCTCAGTGAGGTGATAGCCATGTGTCACATGTGGCCAGCATGCATTGTCTTCTGGATGTTCTTGGTGGTATCCTTCGTCGCTGTCATACTCAAAATAGTCGTCGTCATAGTAGTCCTCTTCGTCATAGTAGTCCTCTTCGTCATAGTAGTCCTCTTCGTCATAGTAGTCCTCTTCGTCATAGTAGTCCTTCTCGCCATCATCATTGAAATAAGGGCTGCCATCTAACACGAGAGTCTCCTTGCGCGACTTGACAGTTGATGCCCTGTGACCGGCTTGACTGTCGCTTTTGTACATTTGGGGGTCTAAAAAATACACCCCTTTGCGCTACGCATATGCATTAGCAGCGGCGCAGAACTGGAAAAGATTAAAGTGTTCGAACCATATCACCAAGCTCATCCTCTTGATACTCCACTACTTGGCTGCGGAGAAGGCGCTGAAGCTTCCGACCACGGTTAGATAGATAACCGAGGTTGCAATGGTTCTGTAAGTTCAGAGGCAGTATCGACAAGTCGCCAAAGCGAATTTTTTGTGTCTCTTCGGTGATAGCGGCAGGGCGTGGAATATGCAGTACGCATGTCTCCCCGGAAGAGTGGTTGTCACAAGGCCTTTTGCCCGTGATCTCAAGATGCTGGCTACCATCTGCATTCCAGACAAGGCGAGGCATGTCAACTTGTTTGAAAGCACGATAGTCGTCGTCATCTGGACATCGCTCTACCAAGACACAATCAGGTGTCTAGATCAAAGTCCGTCAGAAAATCCGGCGTCAGCTCAAATAAAGTTTAAAGTGTGGGTATTGCCTTACGAAGATGAGTGGCAGATGCTCCCACTTGATGGATATTTTCTCTCGCAGCGCATCATCAAGTTGATCGTATGCGTCGGTCATGGAGCTCTCAATGTGATTCAGAAAGTCGCGTTCCACTGCCTCATCTTCCTCGAGGGGGCCTTTTTGCCCCATCGTGGTTGTGGATGAAAACGAAAGAGGACCCGCAGCTTCGTAACGTGTACGGTGATGATAGTACCACGCATGAGGAGGGGAAATCTCCGTTCCGGATGTGAAAGTAATCAATGCATCATCGAAAGTCCAAGAAAACCTTTCATTCAGCCTCTTGGCCAGGGCTGGTGACAGGAGCCTGATCACCGTCTTCTGAGCCGACATACGCCGGAGATGGTGGAGGTCGTGTGAGCAGGCATATTCTCTGATTTCAATCCACCAAAGTTGAGAGCCGGTATCCAGAAACGACTCGAGTTTGTTGATCGGCTGTTTCCCAGTAAGATAAAGAGATTTCGGTACCTGCAAAGAGCCATTGTCCCCGAGAACCATCCACTGATCGTCATGTTTACTGCTTAGCGCATAACTGGGCTCGTCCAGGAACACTCGGGTAGGGCACAAATCGCAAGTGACCCTGTGAAAGTTCTGATGATACTTCGCCATAGCATCTTCGGACGTATTCAGAGTGGGCTGTTGAATATCCACCCATTCCTCTTCGTGAATCTGTCCTCGTGCAGACTCGGACTGCGCGTTCTCCTGGATCCGATAGAGTCGGGTACTGGCGGCATCGGCAACAGCATCCCTTCCTGCCATCCTGGCTCTTTCGATCATCTCAAGGTCTGCAGGCTCGATAATAGATTCAACCTCATCCTGGATGTATCTCCTTTGGCGCTTGCGCAGATCCATATCTGATCGTGCGGTCAGGGATTCAAGGTCGTCGATGAAGTCTTTGAGATGTTGAACAAGGTCGCTGAACTTGGTCTTACCCTCAATTGCCCATCGAGCTGTTGCAGGAAACCCCGGCGATTTGTCCGCCTCTGACGTGGGCTGGGGTTGCGTCAATCTGGCCAGGTTTGTTCCCCTCAGCCTTGGCACGAGAACCCTGATGAGCGCGCTCGGTGACAGAGCCTTGCCCGTGGGAGTGGCGTCCACGGCCCTTAATCCGTACCGTTGAGAGAGCTTGCTGTGATTTTGGAACAAGCTGGCAATGTGGCCCAATGTCTCTTCCACGGCTGAAACCACTTCGTGACTCCAGGTCGGGCACCCATGATCTCCGGGATCATCGCCTTCAACGAGACCACATGCGCGCCCCCACGTCCACAGTCGCAGGCGCTGATTGCAGTACTTTGCTTCGAGAAGAAGGTAGTCGGCGCCGAAATATCGACCGCGCTGGATAAGCTCGAAGCACTCAAGGCAAGAAGAAAACAGACCCGCCAGGCCTACGACGCCGATGGTAAGACCGACAGGTTCCATGACCTCGTCGCAGTCGCGCCTGATTTGAACACTGGTGGTATGGACATCAAAGCAAAACAACAGACACAAATTCCCAGCACCGATGCCTTGATTATATACAGAGGTATAGCAGCGAATCAGCCTCGTCTTCAGCTTCAGCTGCACAGCCACCACCACCTATAATAAGGCGGCCCGGTATCGAGGCCCATGCACGTCGTCATTCACCGGGCGACAACGGAGCCAATGGACCATTGATCAATTAACCGCTCGCACGCGTGCACACGTTAAACCAACGCCTTACCGGCTACATGCTGTGGCCATTGTGTGCCGGCTTCGCATTAGACAGATGGATGCGCCCCATTCAAGAGCTCCATTCGTTTGCCCCCTAGGTCCAGGGCCATATAGTCATAGGAGCCGGGTCATTCTTATGAAAGCGGTGCTGCTTGCTTCCAGATCAAGGTTGAGTTCACAGTCACTATGCCTCGTCACAGATAGTGTGAGCGATGTGGCCTCGTACATGTACATTCCGCAATACGTGTTGAGGGTCTTGCAGGCGGTATAGATCATATCACTTGGCATGTTCAGAAGCTATGAATATCCTGATATGTTCTCGATAGCGCAGAATCCCGTCAAACCATGTGCGATACGAAAAAAGCCTTCAACCTGGACCTCACCAAACACCTGCAAACCATCCAGCCCTGCAAGCACTTAAACACGGAGACCTCGGGCCATCTTGCCCCCGCAGGTTGGAGGCGCAGTCCTGCTGCTGGTGTTCTCGACATCAGGGCCAGGGTTAGGATAGAGGACATCGGAGCCCTCGACCGTCCTGCAGTTGTTCACCTTGCTCCCGACATTGGCCACGAAGATATCCGGACGTCCGCTTAGTGAGCCACCGTTGTTACCACCAATGGTGACGTGCGCGCAATTCATGTACATTTCGCGATTGCCGATATTGTTGTGCCAGCTCCAGGCGAACAGGGCCTCTCCGCTGGGGGTATCACTGGGGACGGTGAAGGGCCAGTCTTTCTTGAGCGGGCAGTTGCCGATCCAGCTCTTGATCACCTTCCAGGAGGCGCCGCCGTCGTAGGAGAGCGAGGCCTGGCATGAGCCACCGTTGTGGGTAGCACTGCCGACGATGGAAAGGGTCTGCTGGGAGCCCGGCTGCCAAGTGGCGACGGAGGCACCCTGAGGTGTGTTGAAAGAAGTGTGGTAGCCCTTGCAGGGATAGTTGGAACCATCAGCAGCCAGAGGATTGACAAGATCATAGTCAATGTTGGTCGTATGGGGGTTGTACCGGGAGCGGAACGGAGGAGGATTGCTCATTTCCATGTGGGCAGAGGCCAGGCCTAGCATGGATGCGACGATGGCCAGCGTCTTCATTGTTCCAGCGGGCTGAATCGACCCAAAAAGCAGGAAGACTATGGTAAAGCTCCGTGCGGAAGCTTGTATAGGGCACACAGGGACCGTTGTTGAATCTGTTTGGGGAGACCCTGGGTCAGACGAGCCTGTTTTTGATACTGTTGCAACTAAGGATTCTTCGAGGCGGCTTATTGCGAGGCGGCTTATTTTATACTCGAATCTCGCTGCAGAACCTAGTTACAACCTCCCATGATGTCACAGTGTAAGCTTGAACACAGGTCTCGTCTTGATGCTACCATAGCTTCCTCGGCATGACCACTGGCAACACGTCGATCACTCGAACTCCCATACAGAATAGTCTAGAGAGCTTCGCTATCATTTCGCGAGAGGAGGATGAGGCATAAGACAGAAACGTCCCATCGCTAAGGGTAGATTTACCCCTTCCTGGACCACATGTAGACGAGACGTTACGTTAGATCTGCCACTTTGAACTCCATGTAGCTTAGTATCATTGGCAATAATCTTCGTTTATCTATTATGCCAAGGGAAAAGCACCGTCGTCTCGTGTCTCGAGCGTCAGGCTCCTATCATGGTATTCCAATAGATGCATCTGACCTCCTGCTCTCCTGTCAGATAATGTTGAACATTGTCACACGTTCCTTTCCCTAGAATATTTCTCAACTTTCTTTTTCTCTTGTTGTTTCCAGTCAACGTCAACGTGGTGTAGGACGCTGTGTTCCTGACCCGTATACGCCCCTGATTGCCTGGCTCCGACTATTGGCTGCTTCTTCTCCTCGGAATCATAAGCCTTCCCAATCTCCAGCCTCTTAGGTGGAAGTACGGTTCTCTCCATGCGTCAGTGACATGCATGCCTCTAAATTGTTGAAACGCACATGTTTGCAGGCAGACGTCGGTACTTGCGCTCGTTGTCTAATATAAGTATCTCCGCCTTGTTCACTGCCGATTTTTCTTTGCCGCAAACTTGACCAATGCCTTCTCGTGCGTTCATGCAAATCATCCAAATCCGGGGAGGTGCATCGTGTTCCCCAGACCTATCCACAACGACCCAATTCGGCAAGAGAGCATTCATTTCTTCTGGCCAAGGGCTTGGCTGGAAGGCACAACAGTAACGTTACCTCGTAGTGTGCCATGTCTGTCCTTACTGCTTCGACGTTACAGCCCAGTCCCGTGGATAGAACCACCAAGTCTGACGTTGAGAAGTCGACAGGCTGTTTCAACCTGCACGATCCGGGAAATAATTGATAGCTAAATGCAACACGGATAATCCCCATTTCGCACGTAACGTTGCAAAACCATGTCTCCAACAAGGCGTGTTGCGAGTCAGATCGTGTAGTGGCCAAAACTATCCAAGAGTAGATATAGCCGCGTCGCTGCTACTTCTTTCGTTGGACATGAATTGCTTGTCTGGGGATCGAGTTTATCCAAACTGGTCTGCAGTGGCATCTCAGTGTGTTGTCAATCTCCAAGACAGTAAAAATGGCAAAGATATCACGTTAAAAGACAGAATACACAGCCTATCCCTCGACTCGTATAATTCCACTCTCCAGGAGCCTGCAAGTTCACAGGAACTGTGATCACCTCCGCGGTCAGAGGACGGCTTGTGCAGCTCAGTCGCAGAACGTCTTAACCGAAACCCAGCTCTTCTCCAAATCAGTAACGAATGTCTGCCTGCATGTATGCTTGGTAGCAAGCACGTTAAGTGAGCCAGCGAGCTCAGTGCTGCGTTCGACAGATAGCAGGCACTGTGCTGCATTTTTCTCTCAATGTCCCGATTCAGCATATTAAGCAGACTGCAAGTGCATTCTTCTAGGTGATAGTGCAGCGTTTACTAGCGCTTCATGTGGATACTTGTGTCTAAGGCGCTATTGTTCGCTCCTTTCGTAACAAGTAGCCTCGCCACGGCTCCGTGCCTGGACTCCAAGGCCTTGGACAGCGCCGTCGATCCACAGCTGTCCTTCAAATTGACATCCGCTCCACTCTCGATCAGAAGCCGCGCTGTAGCTTCGTGCCCACCTAGGGAGGCCACCATGAGTGCCGTTGATTCATCTCTGTTCCGGGCGTTGACATGTGCTCCCCTATCTATGAGGAACCGCACCACGGCTTCTCGTCCAGCCCTTGAAGCATACACCAATGCCGTTCGTCCCCAATTGTCCTGAGCGTGCACGTCTGCTCCGCGATCAACAAGAAGCCATACCAAGGCTCCATGACCCTCCCGTGCAGCAAGCATTAGCGGCGTCGCTCCCTCCATGTCCTTAACATTAACGTTCCCGCCCTCGTCAATAAAAAGCCGGACTATGGCGTCGTGCCCATGTATAGATGCAATATGGAAAGGTGTTAATAGAGGTGAATTACGCCAAGGTGCCGAAACGACCGGCCCCCTTCGAAGAAGGCCCCAAGGGGCTTCAAGAGCCGCCCCCCTTTTGATAAGAAGCCGCGCCAAGTCTTTGTGTCCCTTCATTGAGGCAAAGTTCAGTGCCTCTGTGCCAAAAGACCTTACTTCCGCCCCCTTGTCGACGAGGAGCCACAGGATGTGTTCAAGGCCGCGATTTAAAGCTCTAAGGAACGGAATAAACCCCTGTCCGTCGGTTTCGTTAGGGTCTGCTCCATTCTGTAGTAAGGCCTTCACCATGTCGCACCTCCCAGTTTGGACAGCCCATGACAAGGGTGTGCGACCTTTGAAATTCTTCAAGTCCTTTCTGCATGTGAACCCTCTGGTGATATCGCTGCCCTCAAAATCGGTCGAATTCAAGCCTAGAAGGGCAGCTACCGTATCTTTATGGCCATTAGCCAGGGCGGCGAAGAAAGGGTGCTGGAATCGCTCCTCATAAACGCCCACCGGTGTCTCTGTTTTCATTCGCGAGCGAACGAGTGTATCCAAGCCTTGATCCGCCAAGACATAGAGAGCAGGTGCGTGCAGTTTATACTGCCTTGTTTTGTATCTTTGGAACAGATTCATTACCTTCACCCCTTGCAAATCGAAAAATTGGGTAATGAAGTTATCCTGGGGAACCACTAGCGCCGCTGCGTTGGCATGGTGAAGGGCCTGCTGACTGACATATTCTAGGAATGGAAACTCCTCTTCCATGGCATTTGGTCTGTCGTCTTTTGTGCTTGCCTCGTTGATGATCGCCTGTACTCGATGGTGCTGCAGGTATGCCTGACAGCAGCTTCTGAGTCTTTCCTGGCACAGGCTGTCGCGATCGAACGAGTCATATCCAAGGTCTGGCCACAATAGGGATAGACCTTTATCCTTGAGAAGAAAGTCACGGACTGACTCGTGCATGAATTGGACCGTGGGAGATTCACTTCTTGTGAGTTCTGCGAGACCTTTGGAGGAACTGATGATAAGCCTCTCAATGCTGCCGTTCCGGTAACGGACGGGCGTGTCTGGTACAACTTCGTCGATAAATCCTTTCTGATAAAGGCCAGACCAAAGAGCGTGATCAAATTCTTGAGGGGACAGAGGTCTTTTCGCAAAAAGGATCCAAATCAGGCAAAGGAGGAGCTCCAGATTGTCCCGATCTGACCTGTTACTTTGGTCCTTTTCCAAGATGCTCTTAAAAAGATCACTCAGATCTCGCGGTATCTCTGCCAATCGTCTCTGAAGGGCCATCCCGCCGCGGCTATTCTCCCTATTGAGAATATCCACGACGAGTTTGACCCACAGGAAGACCCCATCAGCTTTTTCGAGTATCTTTAGTTGCATTGTCTCTTTAAGTCTCGGGTCGTTGATTCGAAGTCGATTACTGACGTATCTTGTCAAGTCCAGCTCATGCTGGGGAAGGCTCTCCAAGGTAAGTCGCTCTCCTCTACGAATCTCTATATAGGGATAATGCCTGCTGGAGAAGCACACTCGGAAATTGATCCCTTGTTGGAAGCTGATATCGGCAAGGTCCTCAAAATACTGGACCATTTCGATGATTTGCTGTTCGTCGCTTTCATCCAAGGCATCGATGAAGCAGGTGAGCGAGCGTTTGCCGAGCGAAAGTACGGCTGTGCGAAAGATATCCTTCAGAGTCACCAGCGCGAGACGTTCTGTCTGCTGGGGACCGGTGTCGTGCACCTGTTCCAGATTCATGGGCAGATCCATGCTCCGTTGAAGAAGACGGTAAAGCAAGGAGCGGTACATGCCCACCACGGACTTTTGAAGGTATGTGCCTCGCGCATTGAAGAAGAATGAGAGGGAGATACCGCGTCTCCCACCCGGAGGCTTGAAATTCGAAAAGGCAAACTTCATGATGGTCGACTTCCCAGCACCCGGCTTGCCGCGAATCCACAAAAACCCGCGATGTTCTGGAAGCTGCATCATATCGAGCCATGCTTTGTAGCTGGGGTGCTCCGTAATCCACCGGCACGTATCAGCTTGTGCTTCCTCAATCGTCTTCTCACGGACCTTCATATCATCGAATGCCAGCTGTTCGAGGAAGCGCTGCCTTATCGATACTTGGGTGTTTCTTGTGGGGACGTCACACCTACTCGCCATGGGCACGCGGCAGCGGTACTCTTCCAGCAACTCTCGAGCATAGGAAGCCGCAGTGGCGGCTGCATATCTCTGCCAATCGTCATTCTTGTGGGAGTCGGCGTAATCGGAGATGCCTCGGATCACGAGACAAGGGAGTGTGTCTACAATCCCTGCTGCCTCCATTTCGAAACACATGACATTCAACTCCTGCGCGATTCGGTCTCGCTTGATAGCGTCCTTCATCAAGTGACTGGCAGATGCTATCGCTCCATAGTGCACCTTCGGGTCCTTGGATATTCGCTTGCTCCGCGGGACCTGCTGCGAGAAGTCGCACTTGTCGCAAGTAGACCTGCCAGAGCTGTGTCGGTGTGTCTCCCGGAAAAGACGGTCTTCCAACTTCGGACGACAAAACTCTGGGTATTTGCCAAACTTCTCGAGCATCATAGTCGGCAAACGACTAGCCTCTAGCTCAAGCTTGGACCGCAAGCTTGTTACGAGCGTACCAAGCTTGGACGGCGGCGGCCTGGGATACGCCTTTCGTTGAAATTCGTCGTGGACATATTTTCCTAAATCGCTCTGCATGATCCTCGTGCCAACGACGACATCTCCCAGGCGTAGATCAGCTATCCTTGGGGCTCCTCCACCTATGCCAACCATAAGAGCAATGTCAATGCACTTGAATGTTCGGTGTAAATTTGCTGCGACGTCTGCTGCCTTAACGAGTCCGTCCTGGCCAATTGGTAGACAAGCGATAACGACGTTGTGTTGCCTTATACCGCCCAAAACATAGCTGTTGCTATCGTTCCTGTCCTTTGGAAGCGTCTCGTGGATTTCGTCGAGCACGGCGCGCGCTGCTGCCATTTCGATGGCCAGCGCACATATCCACGCAATGGTGTAATCTTCATGCTTCAGCGCATTGCGTCGCTTTATTGAGGGGTACTTTTCTTCTTCGGGCTCGTCATTGAAGGATTCGTCGTGAACTTTACGCCGCTTGGGGGTCGGTGAAGGAGACCGGACGTCCGAATCGCGCCTCGTTGGGTTAAGCGTAACCGTGGACGTCGGCGCCGGAACCTCATCAGGCGCCTCGTCATCGGACGATATCACAATGATAGAATCCATCTTTGACCTCGCAGTGTTGGAGCTGAGTTGGAATGGAGAGACTCCACGAGGTGGAGAGCAAGCTGAGTCCAAAGCAATGCATACCTGGTAGGTAGGTTGGTAGGTTGCACATTGGTCACGGGGGAGGCTGAGCGGTCGCGAGTGGGGCTGGCGCCTGCGCGCCTGCGGCTCACATTCGGAGGAGCGGCCGTAGCTAACTTCGACGAGCACAAGGAATACGACACTCCTTCAGCCGATAGGTAAGAATACAAAAAAAAAAAGGGGGTGTAAACGAGATCTAGAATAAGTGCTATGCAGAAGAAGTACATACAAACATGGAACGTATACTATAAGCTAGGATAATTACCGTAGTCTACATGCACTTAGTCTTTGACCCACAGCCGGCCCGTGCCGCTATTCGGGCTAAACAAGCAAAGCCGCTAAATAAAAGTCTTGTACCGTATACGCCTGAATAAGATAAAAAAAACTGTTCTTCGGACGATATCTATTGTCCAAGGAAACTAGGCTTCTTTCGCACTATCTTTCACTACCGCGTGACTCCAGAGGGACGCTCCAAGCAGTGGATTTCAAGTTATGCTGCCAACGACGGACCCTGTCTGGGTTTTAGGAAGAATACGACGGAATGTGGTAACTCCTGGCTTCTTTGAGGGAAAATAGCGCGCCACAAAAGGAGAATAAAGCATATGAAGTTGCTTCGATCGTTGATTTTTTCTTATTTATTGTCACGGACTTAACGTACTCGCTAACCAATGGACCCGAGACCTCCTAGGGCCAGGAGATCATAATCGGGCTGTTGATCCCGCTTTATGGCAGTGGCTGGCAGAGAGTTCTGGATTGGACGATTGATGAATAGACTGGAAGTATTTAATGTATCCTTTCGATTTCTAAGCCCGGGACTGTTTTCGCAGGTTTTCCCTTGACCAAACGGGCGCAAGCGGATTTTGGGCATACTCTTGATTTCCTGAGTATAAACGTATTTGAGATGACAGTGGCGGTCAGGAGAATTAGTATTTGAGCGCTTTGAACTCGGACAGCTGGATTGTAGAGGGAAGCGTGCTACTCGATTTGTAGATATGAGTGGATAAGGTGGAAATGAGGCTACTGGATGCCTGGACTACGAGCATGTACCTCGTTCTGTGTCATCATGACTGACTTTCAGGCGCCAAATCCTACGCGTCATTTTCGTACATCCTCAGCCTCCTCCTGCGCAGCCAGGAAAGCCTTGATCGCCGCTTGACATTCGTCTCTGCGGAAGTTGTCCATATCTGGCCAGCCATGCTGTCTGTAAATATCTTAAGCCAGGGGGACGAGAGATATATATCAACTAGATGGCGAAGTCCAGACATCGACGACCTGCTGTGGCTTAAAGGGGACGCTTTTAAGTTAGAGATACAGCGGCTTGAGTAATGCGAAGAAATCGGCGACAGACTAGCATGGTGAGTGCCGCCAGTCCGCTTTATGTTCAGGGGCCCACTCGTAGGGTTCGTTCGACACAGGCGCAATAAAGGACGAGTTCACCCGTTACGAAGCTTAACATAGCCAGGCGCTTCGAGCCAGTAGATAACTCCGAACTGAGTGTCTAGCAAAAATATCAGGGGATCGTTCTCGCTAGAGCAGAAGCCAATAACATGCGCAGGTATGGCGTCACTGAACTCCGGGCCCTCTGTGTAGAGCTTCGTGGACTCTGGTTCATCGTTTGACTTTGAACCGGCGCAACCACGATCAAAGTTCCAGAACGTGCTGTACGGCACGGTTTGAGTTGCCAAGAAGTCACCGCTATATTCGCTAAGGTACGGAAGATGGCGTAGAAGCTCAATAACCGTGTCGGTCTTCCTCATGTTACGGTACCTTTCCTTGGTGATAGAAGGCCAGCCACCAGAGGGTGGATTGAGGATGAGAGACTCGCCCACGTACATCTTAGCGAGAAATGCATAGTAGTCTCCGAACGCACGGACAGTGTCCTCCTGCGAGTACGACATGCCTTCCAAATCCTCCAATGGATTATAGGTAGCTTCGGATAGAGAAGATGCGGAAGACTGAGAACGAATATCCACCATATTCTCATCATTCTCCGTCGCATGGGAAGAAGCGTGCGACTGAGATGAGGAGGCGGACATTGCGATGACTGAATTTGCGTAGCACGGTGTCGCAGAATAAGGAAGGACTAATCTAGGAGGATGCTATTTCTTTTCTTCTCCGCGTTGGCAAGCATGCGACCCCGCACTTGCCAAACGACAAACTTCATAGTCTACTTTGACCCACAGCCGGCCCGTGCCGCTATTCCCGCTAGAAGTGTGCCCACTCGAGGCGCCTCCTACTCCTGTAGGGCTTCGAGCCTCACCAACCTCATTCCTCCTTGTCATGGCTGCCGCGGCGTCGCTTGTCCGTGGCCGGTGGTTGTGAGAAAGCCAAGAAGTGCGACTCGATGAAATGGCCAAAGAATGTCCTTGTTCCTCGTGGCAACGGAAAGGATAAAAGTTGAAGAAACGCTGGCCAGCACCAAATGTCCATCGCCACGGGTATCCGTCCTGGCGCTTCCTGTACAAAGGGCCCGAGGTATTTCGCGTCGCCCAGCACCAGTATTTGTGTTTCGGCTGCGGACTGGAACGTTTCGTGATACGAGTCCGGCGTCTCATGATCGAGGTGGTCGAGCCGAGGTGGAAGCCAAACCGTGTCGAGGAACGAAGCGAGCAATGTGTCTGGTATCGTGCGCTGCTTATGCCTTCCACTCCATTACTTCTTCAGGAGCGCTTCTCAACCCAAGGGCTCTGTGAATGTTGATGCAGCAACTGGCCAGAAGGCGGTCGTCCGGTCGAATGCGAATATTGATGAAACCGGAATCCAGCTCTCCAGCAATGGCAAGTGACTTATGACCGAGACAAACGCATGGCGCACAGTGGATGTAGAGTGTGGTCAGCGGCAGGCCCTCAGTCAAATAGGTCTTTTGCGCGTCATTAAGGTTGTCCCTGTCGAACTCTAGGATCTCTCCAAGCACGCTGAACTCTTCGACCTGGACAGGCTTTCGGGCGTTTACAACTCGCCGAATCAGTTCGCAGAGGGCCTTCCCCCAACCCGGATTCGTGGACGATGCATTCCAGGCAAGAGACTTGCCTTTATCATAACTTATGCAATCCGACCCGAGTTGTCGAATGTCGCAGACATTCTGACTGCTGAACCCGCGGCATTTGCTCGTAAGGGCAAAACACAAGCTGCGCCCTGCAAGCTCGGAGTGAAACGAGTCTGTTGTCCACAGTCAATCCATCTTGAACACCTTTCTGGGACGCCGGGGGGGGGGGGGGGTCCACTTACCAAAACCTTCAGCTATTAAGTTCAGTTGTCTAGAATAAATATACTTACTCGGCGATAAATTCTAATCTTCTGGCGAGTACCTCGGTTCGCAATGAACCATCTTGCAGATTATACCCGAGAGCCACACGGTAAACTCGCATATCACAACCTATACTTCTATTTCTTCAGTCCTCTACACCCGGCATTCTTCCGATCGAGGCATGAGCCTGTCCAGCCAGGCTGAGTACAGCTGGGTCCAACTGAATACGCCACAAGGCTTGGCCTAGACGAAGCCCGATGGACATCGAGCGGAGGTCCAGCGCCAAGGTAGTGGAAGGATGAGTACTGTCCCTTTGCTACTAAAAGGGGGTGGCTATCCGTAGAATGGGACTCGAATACATACAGCTTCAGACCGACAGTATTAAAATACACCACATTATAGATCAGAACTTCCTTGTCCTCTTTGCATTCTTTGGCTTCTCATCCGCAACCCACTCATACAGTACATCCGTCCTCATCGCAAACTTAACCCCCTCCTTCACCTCCGCGCCCTCGTGCAGGAGGTTCTCATGCTGGAAGATTAACACGCTACCGGCCCTCGGCTCGACGTCCACCCTCCGCTTCCTGTCCAGCGACAGGAAACTCGTCTCCCCCCCGACCAATCCCCCTCCTCCTGCGGCCGAGTCGCCGAGGTAGAGCTGCAAGGTGTAGAACGTCTGGAACCGCGACTCGTCCGTCTCGTAGCAGTACGGACCATCCGTGTGGGCTGCGTCACTTCTGATCAGCTAAGAGAGAACAAGCGAGGGGAGCTCTTCATGTGGCAAATTTTGTACGCACGCTGGAAATACTGGCCCGCGGTGTAGCGCAGGAAGCTCATCCGGTCGTTCACCCTCCGGAACCGCCACTCCCCGCGCCTCACCCTTCCGTAGTCCTGTGGCACGACAGCGAGCCGCTCCTGCAGCCCGTCTGCCGAGGCGCACCGCGCCCAGATGCGGTCCGCGATCGTCTGGTTGCGCCAGATGATCCTCCCGCTGTTCCGGTAGCCGGGTCGGTGGACCTCGCCGCCGGGGCCTCTGACCAGGGCGGGTGGCCAGGGGCCTTGCTCGACCCCGGCGCTGGACTCGGCGAGGGCGGTGAGCTGGGCGCATTCTGCCGGGGTGAGGACGTTCGCGATGGTGAATGCGGCGCGGTCGGTATACTCGGGTATTTGTGTTGAGGCCCAGTCGATGGGTGTGATGCTGAGGGGGAAAGGGGGTGGTGAGGTGAGGAAGGACGGGTCCGGGATGTCAATGTGTGGGCTGGACATTGTGATCGCTGATCGCAGTGGCTGTCAATACTCGATTGAAGGAAACGAGAGGAGCATCCTGGAAATTGCCTGATATAAGAGTCGATTTAGGACTGTTGCCTAAAGACTCTGCTAGGAAGGAAGGGTTGTGATAATGATGCCTGTTGGCGGCAGGGACTGCTGCCTGGAAGCAGAAAAAGATACCACACAGGCCTCTTACAAGCCTATGTGCTTTGGCAAAGAAGCATTCGTACGTATCCAATGGAGTATTTTCCAGGATCAATTGCATCTTACAATCAACGCAAACCTTCTCTATCCCACTACGTATACCGGGAGGGAATTGGGGCATTAGTGCATTCCAGTGCGGAGAACAGCCCGATTTAGCGTTGCCAGCCCGCGTGGTATGCACCATGCACCATGCTGCATGCAGCCGGTCCTCAGCTGACTGCTGAATGGCGTGGGGTTGTCTCGCAGGTGCGACTCGCAGGGCTAATATGCCCCGTCCATAGGCTAAGACTTGGAAAATCTGCACTGGATCTAAGTTGAGCCTAGTCAGAGCACCGCAAGTTGCAACCGATGCGGACGGCTAGCTCAGCCTCCAGCGCAGTTCATCTGGTAGGCAGCTTTCCGCCGCCTGGGATTAAGATGCATATGACAGGGGTACTCTGGAGGCAGGTCCTACGAGCAAGACGTATTTCGAAAGAGAGGGTGCAGCTGGAATCTTCAAGTATCGAATCCAGAGTCCATGCCCAGTGGGTAGGCACGTGACCGCCGGTGCCCTGCCTAGCGTACGCCACTGTGGAACCAGATGTGGCAGCCAAGGCTTCAACGATTGGGTTTATACTCGCCCGCTTGAGTGAGCTAGGAAGGGGCTATAATGCAAGACAAGACCAGGCGTCCAATCAGTCAACGCGGTCGCACATCCCGTTGCAGCAGAATTCGATCGAGGCTTGATCTAGATCAGGTTAAGACTGGGCCCGCTTCAGGTGAGCCCGTACGAGGCACAGAGGTCGTATGGCTGTATAAAACAATGGCTCCTTGCCGACGAAGGACTCATGAGCAGTGTCTGGAGTCTCGAGTCTGGACTCCAGGGTTCAACACGATCCAGTGCTCCACCATTGACGTCTCAAGCCTTGCACCTTCGAGCCGTCCATAGGGTGCCTTAGTACCAGCAGTCCGGATTACTGTATGAAAAAAGCAGACATGGAGCTCTCCACCATTTCGGGCCTGTCGATACTCGCGCTCATTTCTATGCCTCCTGCAGTGTTGGCGCAGGGTCGCGAGATATGCTTTACCGAGAGTACGTGCCCTCTGCTCACTCTGCACAGCAGCGACTGATCCTATGAGCCCTTGTGCTAACCCTTCCCGTCCAATAGAGCGCGATAGATACCCCTACGCCGTGACGGAATGGTACTGCGGCTCCGGCAGCACTTGCTGCAGCGTCCCCGACGACTCGGAGGATGGCGAGCTGCTATGGGGCTGCATTGACACCGACGAGACCTGCTCCAGGGACACGTGGCTCGCCAGCGAGAACATGGGATTCGAGGTCACGGATGACGGATACGGAGACGACGGTGACGAAGATGACGACGGTGACAGTGACAGTGACAGTGACAGTGGTGCCCGCGGGTCTGTAGCGTCGTTCTCGGCCGTGGTCTGTGGCGTTGCTGTGTATTGGGCTGCACTGGGCATGTGAACTACATGTAGACACTTGACTGCTTGCCCTCACTAGTGTGATAGAGAATCTGTTCAAGAGGGCTTCAAGCGAACTGTACTGTGTACTTAGTAGAGTAGAGGAGTCGGACGCCTCTCCATCTCCGAGTAGGCAATCACGCCGTACGTGTCATCCATCTCCACGGCTTCCCGATCTCCCAAGCTCGTTTGAATGACACCATAGCACCAGCGACCTCCCATATCCCGCAGCGCTACCTTCCTCTCCCGCTCCGTCATCACGGCCGTGCCCTCCATCTTCTCTGTCCATCTCGACTCGGCAACGTACCACATTTCGCCCGCAATGCTGCGCGGATCCACAGGGAACGTCGGCCAACTGGCGAACATACTTGCGATGAGGACGGCCGCCATGAGAACCAAGACACCAGCGCTGGTGCGTGCGCATACCACGTGCACACCCTGGGTCAGCGTGAGGTCGTATGGGACGTTGGCGAAGAGCATGGGCAGAAAGTCGGATAGGACAGCCATGGTAGAAACGCCGAAAAGTAGAGGGTCGCGATGCCTTAAGCCGGCGAAAATGCCTGTGACGGCATATGTCGGTCTCTTTGCCAGGACGGATCGTGTCGCGCCTTGAGGTTTATTTGCCATGCGACGATATGGTGCGAGAATCGCGACACCTACACCAGAATTTGTCAGTATTCCCCTTTCCCCAGTCTTCCCTTCCTGGAAGAAAAGGACTCACTGTCGAATATGCATTCCCAGCAAAGGATCACAATGACACCAAGGGTTGAAGATGCAAACCGCACACCAAACCTCTCTTCTTCCAAGAATTGTTCGAGCTTGTCGGAGAGGGCAAATCCAAGATGATAGTACATGATAAAAGACGTGAGAGCTACAAGGTAGATCAGAAACAAAAGGCGCCACCAGATGGTGAGCGCCGCGAACGTTGAAGGCGCTCTCTTGTGCGTCTGGATCTGACTGTAAGGGTTTCCACCGGTTGGAGGATACCTAGCGCTCTCGGAATAACTCGTTTCTACCATCATGGCATCGCATTCATCAGGCCTTGACCCACGCAGACTGCGCTCTTGGTCATCGCAGATGACAATGCCGTACTCCTCGCGAGGTCCGTTGCGAAACCAGCCGAGACCAAAGTGCATCTCGGACGTGGCCGCCTTGATGGCCTTGTAGTCTAAGGCTACTAGCGATCGTATATCTGGATTCCGGCACAGACTTGCCGCACCAGCAAGACACCAGGGGTCCGCAAAGACACCCGTCTTCCACGATCGAGAGACGATGAGAAACAGAGCCAGGAGCAGCCCCACAACAGTGGCCATCAGACCAAGAAGAACGTACGACTCAAGGGGCGACACGCCGAGACCAAGTGCACAGCCGACTGCATATTTCGATTTGCACGATCCGTGGAGCTTCAAGCCGATAGCCTCACACGCCACTGGTGCCAAGGCGGTAGACAGCCAGACGGCGAGTGTGGACAAGAGAGGGACTGGGTGGCCCTTTGACACCATGCCAAACGGCCGCCAAAAGCCTTTCCAGCCTTCGAAATGCAACGTTAGCGAGTCTTTTCCGGACGCGCCCCGAGGGTGGGACAGGGTGGCAAACGGCTGGTACAACTTGGCGGTCATGTCGACGGCCCGCACGGCAAGGGCGACAATGACAGCCACGAGAGGCGGGAGGAATTTTCCCATGAACACTTCGGCAGGTCCGAGATTATATTCCCTACTCTCGACAATGATGAGCGGATCAGAGCCTCCCGTCGGCGTGGAGGTAACGGTGAGGACTGTCTTGGTGCCTGGGACGGATGATGTGTGCGTGATGGGAGCGGGAAATATCGTCGAGGTGGTAGGCGCTCCATCAGGACCGACGGTGACCTGCAAAATTGGCGGGAGTGTCTCCAAGGACGTCACAACTGTGCCCCCAATCTCGCTCGTGAGGATCTTGGTCACAGAGTTCTGCATCTTGAGCCCATTTCGGTCGACCGTGAATGTCGAGAAGATTGTTGTCTTGCCCAGCTTGATATACTCCTCGCCGGGTTTCGTGGTCGTTACCACAACGTCGGTGGTGACTGATGCTTCGATCTGAGTAGTTATAGTCAACGTCCTGGTTGTATCGTCATCAAAATACACCTTGTGGGCTGTTTCGCTAGGTGACGATGACCCATATGATTCATGCGCTGTAGGCTGCAATGTGACTGCGGATCCAGGGATGGTCTGGACCGTGGTGGTGACAACGTCGCTGGTAATAACGCTGACGGTGGTTGTGGTGAATGTCTCGGTGATGGGCGGTCCAGTCGAAGTGAAATTGATAGGCACTTCAACAAATGCTGTTGTCAGAGTGCCCTCGTCCGCTTCGTTTGATGGACCACCAGAGACAATCTCGTCGTCTTCCTCCCCGGCAGGTTCGTCCTGCGTCGAACCCGTTGCCCGAGGCTCAATTGCGTTTACTTGCGTCGCCTTGTTCTGCCGCTGGTCCAGGCCCTGCAGGCCATCCCGATTGTCGGACCATGTCTCGTGGTGCTTCACTGTTCGCGTTTGGATCTTTGCTGTAGTATCCGATCCTTGGAGCGCAAGGTTGGCGTAGACGACAACTCCAATGAGTGCGACAAGTACGGCAATCAAGCTACTGAGGTACCACCATCTCAGCGAAGCAGGCCGATAGTCTGCTTTGCGGAGTCCGCTCTTTCTCGTGACAGAAGCTCTCCTGACTCCCTCGTCTTGGAACAGCTGGGCGACGTTAACCGGTGCTGTCTTCGGGCGATCGGCCGCATCACTATACAGCTCAGGGGTGGTCGGCCAAGTGGCCTGATACTGCTGCGCAGAGTACTGGTCCATGTTACTCATTAAGCTCCGTTAGAGAGTAACCAGATTGCTGTGCGAACAGTATCTCGTGTGAAGTCGGTTTCCCGTAAGGATTTGTAGACATTCTAGCCAAGCAGACTGGCCGTGCTTCTGGGGGTCTCCCGTGTCTAATAAGACAAAGGTCACCCGGACGAGTCCTAACCTCCTAGGACGCCTCATTGACCTAAATATTTGTAGCATGTCCTGTCATTGGAGGCGTTGGGCAAAGTCAGGTATGGAGGCGCAAATAACTTGAAATAAGCGTTGCGCTTGGCTCCACCTCAATAGCGAGAATGTTTTCAGCTGGCTCGCCATCAACGGCAAAGGACGAGAGACCCCAATCTAATATGGAGGTTTTGCAAGCCTCTAAGGCTGTTAGAGGCTTAGCCAGCTGAAATCAGTTGTCCGGGAAGTCTTACTGCGCGGTTCGAGGCCCTTCGATAAACCCGGTGACCCAGCCAACGGACGCCCCACGCGGTTTGATTGGACTGACACTCGCAGGGCTGAAAAAAAAAAGCATGTCACTTGAGGCAAGCGGAGGTGAATAGACTTTAGTGCGCTTTCACACCGAGATCCGGTGGAATGCATTTGAAACATACTTTGGATGATGCAAGGTGATAATTGCTGTGAGGGCGATCTTAGAGCTGCTGGGCACTTAAGATTACCACGTAGCGCTTGCTGACAAACATGCAGCTTGAACCTAGACGATGTGCACTCATTGATGCTGAGTAAGGCAAGAGGAATCTTTCAACATACATAACCTTGAGCAGCGATTCGTGAAAGGCAATGGTCGTTCAGGGCTGCGGGTCAATCAATCAGGCCCGATCTAGGGGATCTATCTGACTGATTGACGCGAAGTTTGCACAGAATCTGACTGTTTGGACTGATACTGACAAGTGTGGATTGGATTTGATAAAGTTCGTCCTTGACCGAATGGATTAATTGATAGATAAAGAAAGGTCGATATGAATGAAATGAGGCTTATGGTGATGAATGGTTGGTAGCTAAGTGTGGTTATGAGGAAGGTGATGGGCTTACCGCTTGAGTCCATAATGTAGGTACGTACCTAGGACCCTGGGTCCGGGCTCCGGACGCCGGACTCCGGGGCGATCGGAGGGCGGCGGCCGGCGCGTGTTCTTATTGGTGAAAAGCCCATAGAGGCGGATCTAGGCACCCTGTCGTGCCGCTTGATTCGCTTGATCAAATACTCTGGCGAGCGGCAACCTACAGATTGATTGATTGCAGGCCTCAAGATGCCTGATCTTCTGACTGCTGTTCGCGAACGAGGAAGATGGTCTGATCGAGCTGCAGCCCTGGGATCCTCGCAGCACGTATGAGTATGACAGCATCTTGATTGAATACACGCTTGAGAGTTAAGTCTAACTACAGGAAGACAGTCAGTGGCCAGTTTTTGTTTGTCAATGTCTTGATTGTTCCATGTCAGTCTGTTGGCGAAGTGGACCGCTAAGAATTGCGGAGTTTGGGAGTTCATTACTATGGTAGGAACAATTCAGCGGGGGGAACGTGCTCAGGGAGATGTAGTAGTCCCGATTAGCAAGGCGGGACAACGACCTGTGTCGCCTAGTCTGGTATTTTGGCGCACGGCGAATCTTGTCTGCCCAGTCGACAGGGTTGCTGCTTGCTTTGAGTGACGCTTCCCAGCATATGGTGACATACTTTCAACCGAAAGAATGAATTGGCATCAGGGCGCCCGCGGCGAGTAGGGATTTGTGGTAGCAGTCGGGATTCTTCTAGTTGGCAAAGTTGAAGTAGCGCAGTACGGTTAGGAAGACGGCAGCGTGAGAGAACATGGCGTCTTTTGTCATCTAAAATACAATCCTCGGGTGTGTAAGCTGAGAACTAGACGGGATAGCAGCTCGGTGGAGCATATCAAGGCCACCATGAGCACGGCACGGATTTGACATCGATCATCGCGCACGTCTTGACCATGAGGCCCGTGCTCACCGCCATGGCCATTGCGGCCGTCTACTTGACCACCCGGTTCGATCTGTTCATGGTCTGTATCCTGCTGGCCAGATTTCCCTTGCACTTTTACTCAACTATCAAGATTCTCTTACGCACCGTCCGCTTAGAGAGGATCAGCAGCGAGCGGGCGCATGGCGCCGAGCGCTGATCTCACAACGTCGAATGTTCACGGTGGCGCTTAGGCTGTCGACGGTCGTCGATGCGGACCTGATCCTGGCCATGCGGGTCGCGTAAGGCACGGGAGCTGCCGACCATGGGAGGCTAGTACGCCAGCCTACCGTACTACGGTACACGTACGGGGGATGCAGACAGCGCACCCGCGTGGCCATGCTCTGTCGGACGACAACAGCGTAGAAAATGGTTGTGGTTGGAGAGTGGGCTAATTAATCCAGTCTCAACGTCGCCTCTTGCAAGTTGCAACCAGAGCGAGTCTAATCAAAAGCACTGACTTCTCCTTTGGCGGGCAATAACACTCTCTTTCCGTGACCTGCTAGGGTGAACGCTAGGACTGGAGTCCTGGCAGTCCACCCCAGTCCAACCCAAAAGAAGGTCCAACCCAAAAGGAAAGCAAGACAGCCAAATTGCTCTGAGCGGCCCGACCGAGTTATCTCCACTATAAGCGACTCACCACCGTGGTGCTCTTGACTCGGGGGTCGGGGCTGAGGGTGCCGGTGGCCGTGCCGCTCAACTACAGCACTGTTATTTCGGGAAGTGCATTTCTGTGACAAAGGAATTCCCACTTTCCTGTGGGGAACTCCTTCTTTCTAGCGCATTTCTTGGAGCTGTCGGATCATGACGTACGTACGAAATAGACCGTTTGGGTCGCATTAATTACCGTTCTCTCACAAGAAGTAGAAAAAGGGACGTGCCGTGACTCTAAGTTAGGAGGCCATTGACAAGGATCCGCTAGAGGGGGGGGGGGGCGTCTCGCTAATGTGCTATTTATAGCTCCAGCGGATAGCGCGGCTATCTTGGATTTTTCGGGTGATACTACTACCACCTATCGTCTCTACTACAGCGTGGATAAGGGTAGACTCGGAATCCTAATGTTAAGGCTGTGTAAACCTAGGAGAGGTCTGAAACTTGCTTTATCTCTCTAGAAGAATTCCCTTCGTGTAGCGGTCTAATGCTAGTTAGAGAGGGGGGTTGGGGTTCCTAACTCACTTCTACTTCGAGTACCCACTTCCTGTGACTCAGGCTTAATAGGGGGGCGTGTGCTACTAAAACGAAGCGTGATAGCGTGGATCCTTATTTCGTGCGATTTTGACTTCTGATTCGTCCGGAACGCTTCCGCGGAGGGTGTGGCTGAGGCGACATAAGGAGCGACTAGCACTAACGCTTCCGCGGAGGGTGTGGTCGAATTGACATAAGGAGCGACTAGTCCTAACGCGGCCCTCCTACAACCCAATCCCTGTGACATTGTTAACAAAATACAGAGGGTGCGCTAGCAAGGGCCTCAGAACGAATCAAGATCGGAGATTTACTATTGACTGTTGCTAGCGCGGAGACTTACATCGTACCGTACTAGCGGCTCAGCTAGGCTAGGCCCCGTCGGTCTGCTAAACAGCTACGCGACCGGGGCTAAGTCTCTCGTACCAACATTGAGGGGACGGACTGTACATAGACATTGACGGCGCGTATTGACGGCGTGTACCACCCAATCGACCACATCACGCAGACTGGCAAGCAACATTCATCGCACGACCAACAGACCTACACCACCAGCGAGATGCAGCTGCTTGCAACTCTCCAGTGCGCGCAACATTCAGGCCGCAGCTGTTCGATCAGGAGGCGACCAACGACATGGATCTGGACCGTCCAGGCTGCGGATGTGTTCATGTTCGCCCGCTGCTCTGCTCTCGAGCCCTCCTCGTTCGTCTCTGTTGTTCACGCGAGGGAACTCCATCGACCATGTGTCAGGTAGGGTGGCGCTTGACCCTGTGACAGACAGGCGGATGCACCCGTGGTAGGTCAAACGCAAGGCCTCGAGGTGCCCAGAGGTCGCGCGCTGCGCATAGTCTGGCTGTCGATTGCCCATTCCCTCTTCTCAACATTGCGACCTCTATTTGATGGCTCTACGGCATGATCGGCCTGATCTATCCACGCATGCTGGCCTAGTTTCGTTCCCTCGCCCGCGTTGCTGGTGGACTTGGCTTGCTCGCTTGCCCTTCCCCCCGTTGGTTCCTCTTTTGCTTGGGACCTACACAGTTCGTCCTTTTCCCACAGCCTTTGGTTTTTACTTAAATACACAGACAGGCCCCAAGAGCTCTTTTTCTCTTTTTCTTCTTTTGACTGCCCAGGTCCATGGCTCGAACAGTCCTCCCAGCAACATCCCTACACACATGCACTTTGTCTTCACGACAGACCTCTAGAGTCATCCACCCATCCCAGTCTCCTGGGAGACGTGAGTCTTCCACAGTCATTTCTGCTCCACAATGTCTTCGTTGGGCGTACGTGACGCTCTGGCAGAGCAGCACTCTCAGAGAACTGCATACTTTCAAGCCATGTGCAGCACGCATGCGGCGTGCGACACCATCAGACGTCAAATTGACGATCTGGAAAACCAGAAGGTCAATATGGAGCAACGGTTCGAGAAGGCCTGGTCAGATGTGAAAAACGTCGGCGAAGCAGCCGGAGCGAAAGTGGAAGGCGTTTTTGACTCTGCCGAGCTTCACTTCGCAGAACTTCGAAAGATTCGCCAGCAACTAGCAGATGTGACGGCAAACGAGACGGCTTCTATGCAACAGCTGCATAGCATCATTCTCTCTTGCCAGCGTTCTATTAGCAGGTCCCTGCGCTCTATCCAATCCAACAGTGGGAACGGTGACAGCCTACCCACGACGTCTCAGCAAGACGCAGAGTATACGCGTCCGAGGGACAGCACAAGTCCCGCAGAGCACGGAGCCATCGACGCGATACGAACGGACGGCAACATCGACAACGTGACAGAAATCCTGCAAAGCCCCCCGGCGCGAGTCGTGCGTTTTTCCGAGATCTGCCCTCGCGGTCAAGCTACACATAGAATTGTCAGAGCGCGACGCGACAGACAGAATCTTTGGTTCTTTTCGTGCCGTGGGTCTAAGGCTGCATGCGTCAAGAAACGGGTTTTCTATCACAAGAGCGACGAAGGGCTCCTCAAGGCAGTATCATATCACGCTAGACTCAGTCATGGCATTGCAGAAACAGAATGGCCAGAAATCTGCCGACTGCTGGGCACCAAAGTCACAGGCTGCACAACAGACGACGCCAGACGGAACAATGAAGCCTTTAATGGTGTCGTGGCTAGGCTTGCCCACGAAGAGAATCCAAGAGGCCAAGCCGATCGAGAGTACAAGCCAAGCTGTGCGCAAAGCGAACCGGAACAACGGACTACGCGCGGTGGGCGGAGGACAGCAGTACGACCGCCCAGCGAGACAGCGGCTGAGCTTGAGCAGGAGGCCGAGACAGGCATTCGGGCGTCCCTCGAGCGCGGCATATCTCCCCCATGGGACGCAGAAGATGTGCTGCAGGAAGCTTCGGAGCATGCTCGAGCTGCTCTTACCGCGAATACCCAGACTCAGCACTCTCCTGCGAGGTTTGAGATCGTGTCCCAGGCTGCCCCGGTCGCCGAAATGTCGTAGAAAAAGTCACAGGAGTTCCTATGTCGTCGACTAAGAAACGTTGGAAAAGCTTCGGGTGCCTGTTCAGCCTGGGACACAAGCCGGGAGGAAAAAGGGAAGAAAAGGAAAACAAATGTCAGAAGTCCAGTGGCACTAGTGCAGCAAACGTAGGGTAGGTGGCTTTTTGTCGGTCTCTGTATATATAGTGGCCGGAGTATAATTCGTAGGGGTCCATAACTAGCAAATAACTAATGAGACTAATGTAGTAGAGTCATGACTATAATACTTCTGCTTTACTCAAAGCTCCTTTCAGATTGCTCTTTAAGGCTAGAACGACCAGTAAAAACTGTGTAACTTGTTCAGGTGCTAAAGAATTAGAGGTATTCCGTGTAGACATAGCGCAATTTAGCCTAACATGAAATATATATGTAAATAAAGTAAAGAAAAACTGGAAGGGGCTTGGCGTAAGGATTTTCTTCTTCCTTTCTATATGTATCTTTGTGACTTCTAGCCGCCCATTTTTTATTTATAGTATCCAGGGCATTGACATTCTAGGCACTATGCATCCTATCAGAGTCCATGTCTTCCCCACATCCTTTGTTAGAAGTCCCATACGGTGCCGAAAGCGAAGCCGTCAGTGCGCATGGGACCCCGAGTCGCGGTATATGTCACAGGCATCGAGAAGTCAGAGCCCCTCGAATCTGGATACCTTGACGATATAACCACGGAAGAGTGGTCCCGGTGGCTGAGCTGCTGCGTATGGTGGATACGGTGTGTTAACTTTAAAAGCTTAAATGCGCCCAACGTCGCGGCCCGTGATATGCAGGCGCCGTGCCACCGCATGGGAGGTCTCACAGGCTGCTTAGTGAAAAGATGCAAGACCGCTAGCAGCAACTTAGGAAACCGACTAGAGCCTGCAGGAACATGAACTTGGTACGTATCACGTCGGCATTGTTGTTATTATTGATTGTCGAATTCCAAACTTGACAGTGCTTATTACAAGCCTTCGATGACCCCTGAGAAAAGCAGGTCGGAAACGGGATGTGGTTAGCAACAACGTCACTGCCCAGAGCGGCGCGATTGGCGCTCGCTCTCTAACATCTGCCGCCCCGAGGAGGTTGATTTGTGGTTGTCGCGCTCGTAAAAGGGCTACAGCCGTTTGCATAGTCGGGCAATAACTTCATGCATGAATGCACATGTGGTAACGTCTAATAACTTTACGAGTTTCCTCTTGGCTCTCGCCTGCAGCTGCAACTGCAGGGTCATTACACGCTGTCCAATCCCAGACTCGAACGGCGGAACTAATTGCAGGGGAGAATCCGGAGAGGCGATTGATAGTAGAGCATGAATGAATCAGATTGCAAAGCTATCACCCATTTCGAGCTCGATCGTCGCCTACTACATACTCTGCTCCTAGTCTCATTGAGTCATTGTGAGTGGTACTATCAAGCCGGCAGCCACCTCATGTAAGCTGACCTTGCCACTGCCAGTCGCGAGGTACGTGAAGCTGACCGAGAGTAACTATCAAGTATAAAGAGGAGTTGATTCCCTCTGAAAACTGAACTATCTACGAGCATCCTATCCTCTAGCCATTTACTTGCACCTCAACAGCCTACTTCGCTTTTCCCGGATATCTCCTGCCCCCACCGCTTTTCAAGATGCTCTTCTCCCCGGCTTTCTTCGGGCTTTTCGCTGGCGCCTCTGCTATTGACATCTGGCACAACTGGAGCAGTGGCAACTGCCACGGCAGCAACAGCATCTATTGCGCGAACATTGGCCCGAATAGGTGCTGTGCAATTTGAGGACAGTCGGGAAGCCCCTTTGCCAGCGTCGATTTCAGAGAGATTCCGACCAATTGGAATATCCAAGCTAGGGGCCACCGGGGCAACCAGTGCGGTCAGCATCGCACAACCCAAGCCAGCAACGGGCGCTCGTCGGTTTGCCTCAATAGTGGACCATATGGAAGCGGTGGCTATGGCTTCGTTAACAGACGCCGTTCCGAGGGTACCGGAGAAGAATGCACTGATCTTGTGACGCCGGATATCGTGGCCTTCACCGACGGCGTTCAGTACGACCTCACGCAGCTGGACGATGCTGCTATGGATGAAATGGTGAGTCGTCCCCCTTTATTGTCCCGAAAATCTTCTAGGGAACTGATGCTAACGATATGGTTGGATAGTACGTATAGATGTTTCCACAGGGGGATCTTACATGTCTGCTCCATATTTCCTCCTCCTTTTCTTTTTGGAACCTCTCACGTCTCCCCCACTCGCTACTAGAGGGGAATTTGCATCTACTGGAATTTCTAATTTGCTTATTATCGAAATCGCAGCCTCTGGTGGTCACTCTTCGGATGTCCCCGCACAGTCCGAAGTTCAACATAATGGAGGACGCAGTCTCCGTGGAAGCTTAGGTACTTTGGTGGCATATTGCAGTCACAGCTCATGTTGTCTTCGTCTCAAGGCCGATGAAATTTGCCTATGCTGTTTATCGCCGGTCAAGCGCTTTTTGATATCGAGGGCTCTACTACCAAGAAGTGTCCTTCAGCCGCTCGCTTCGTTAGTCTGGTATCTCAATCAAGTTTGGTATTCCGTCCGAACCCTGATGTGAGGAGTGCCGTGCATGATTATTCCAAATTACGATGTGGGTAGCTCCGAGTCTGGGAAGAGTATCGTTTGTGGCTTCAATAAGTACTGTCCGTTAGGGGTAAAGGGTATCGAATTATGACTATGCTCTAGAAATAGAGGTTATAGGGTCTGGAATGTAATACTAAGGCGTAGAGGACAAGAACTAGACGGGATCCCGTATTCTCCACTAGGTATAGTCGTATGTAATAGCTTCTTGTTACTTTATATATACCCTTGTAACTTCTAGCCGCCGATCTTATTGTGTCTAACGCATTGATGTTCCAGGCGCTATGCATCCTAGCAAAGTCTTCCCCACATCCTTGGTTAAAAGTCCCATAGGGTACCGAAAGCATGGATACCGGCTACGCCACCGGAATCAGTTCTCGTGGTTCACAATCGATTGCCGCGATGAGACTGGACATACCTTCGTAGCAACCTTGCATCAACTCGTCGTTGCCCCGCTTGTTGGACGTTATGAACACAACTTCGGCTTCAAAACTTTGCCACGTATCTTTCAAGAGCTGCAAGGTGTCTGGTCTGCCACCTCGTTGCTTGGTGTCCCAGAGGATCATTCTTGATGCCGGGATGTTCCGATGTATCAGGTCTTTGATGATCGGCCCAAACGTCTTCTCTTGATCGGACCCGATCCAAATGAGAAACCTACGGACACATGGTCAGCCAGTCCCCAAGTACATGTCCGCAGAGAGTGTTCAAGATCCTGCGGTCCGACGTACCAATTATCACTCTGGATGCAAGTCGAAAGTGCCGCGCCGATTCCTGTTCCCGTGCAGACGCGAATCCCCCGCTTGAACATTGCGGATGCATGGCCAACCCCCGCTACGCTCAGTCAGTCAAGTAGTTCTCGTCAATAGGTCTGGTACTTGTCGAGGCAGGCCATACCAAACTTGAACTGTCGCGTCCACAAGGCCTTAGGCGGGTCTCGAACAAGACTCTGGGTGAAGTCGCCCTGCACACCACAAACCATGTAGTGATGTGCGGATTTCTTTCCCTCACTGATGATCCCAAAAGCATGATACTCCATAAGAGAGGTGCGACCGATTCTGCCGAGATGGCCTTGTTCAATCCCACCCTCGAAGCAGAGGATTGCCACTTTTGAGGATGGCTGCACAGGTCATGTTAGACAGTATGTTGCCCAGATAGAACGAGTATGTACGTACAATCTGCACTTCCACCGGTACTCTGCGGACAGTAGCCCAAGGAATGATGATGCTGTGAAACTCAGCATGTGACGGAACAGTAGAAGGGAGAGGACATACCACAAAGTGATGCACATGGTGAACCACAAGGCTTGTGAGCGAATCAATGTATCTGTGGTGACCTTCCACTCCCCGCGAGCGGTATCGTAACTGTTCTCTAGAGCGACAAAAATCCACGTGGCCTGTCAAAGTCAGTGCCTGCGGTCAGATACTGGACGGCCTGGTTGTAGATGCTCACTATGAGGCCCAGCCAGCCGATGAACCGATGGTGCTTCTCGAACACGTTATGATAATTACTTAGGACATTGTCAACTCCTTTACTCGGATTGAGGGGGGTGGGGAGGGGAGAGCTTACTTTCGAACCCAAGGAAAGGCGCTGAGCATCGATATAAACATGAGTGCCATGGTGATGATGCCGGAAATGATAACTGATTTGTGTTGCTGTTCGGCACCGCCGCGAGCGAGATCAATGACATGGTACATCAGCCAACTGCCAGGGGTTAGTATGTTTCTTGGGTCCGACAGGGCTTGGCTATGACATACGTTACGCCCGAGAGTGCGCATCCCGAATGGATGCCTCCAACATGCTGTAAGATAGAGGTCGCTGCTAATTTTATTCTCAATGGGGCCCACTGATTGATTCGACGACGTGGTTAGCTTCCTGCTTTCAAGCTCCAATAATTAAGGGGCAGGTGAGGGAAGACGTACACTGCGCAAGCCGTATATAGCCACTGCGTATAAAATCCGTAGGCAAAGTTCACTCCGCATAAGGACTGCAGTAAGGAGGTTTCCCATTATAAAGGCACCAGCCTGGTCTTGTGCATAGGGAAAGCGACCAAGCGCGGCCAGCAGCAGACCAGTGAAGTTCAACGAGGTCGTGAGTATGAAAAACAGTCTGTATGTGCTGAACCAGAGCCGGATGAGAGTTGAGCGACGAGGTCCTTTTGCTGGTGGCGATAGCTTTTTTGCTGTGATAACGGGCGCCAGTTGCTTGGAATCGTTTGAGTCCAGCTTCTCGACCTCCACCGGTAGCTCAGATACTTTTTGTTCAGCGTACAGCCCTTTCTCTGCAAGGTCCGAGGCGTTGGGATCGCTTGCTGCGTCACGAGACGGTAGTGGAGACATTCTGTGTATGTATGAGAGGGAGAGATCGATGTCTGGTCGTTTCGGCGTATGCCCTTGCAAAGGGTAGCTTAGCCCTTCTCAACACCGTGAGACATTCAGCTCTTTAAGTGCACTGCGCTGCATTCGGAAGCTCTGAATGGAGCAGAAGAGTGACCTCAACTTTTTCACTGGCCTACGTAATTGACGCATCGAGTGTCGTCTGCCCTACAAGATAGGACATAGAATCATCTATCATCGAGACGAGAGCGGCGCTTCCGCTGTAGTTCCGCTTCTACGGCCCGATTCCATCAACATGTACCGCATCAAGCGCAAGCTTATTAGGTTCCAAAGACCCAGGAAAGAGATCTGCCACAAACGCAGCACAGACATGGATGGCTTGGCAATTGAGGCTTTCTGTCGACCTGACTGGCCTCAACTTGCTTGGGGATAGTCCCGTTCACCTGCGAGGCGTCCACATCATGACAACATCCACGATCGAGAACATGTCGACTGGAAGTCTGACGGGAACCGCATGCAATCAATAAGACGAATACGGACCCCATCTTCCATTATGAGTAGCTAGCAGTCTGACTCCTGAGATAGTTTCCTATTCTGGACTTCGGAGCTACTCCAAGCTTCCCCCGGACCCCCGCATGGTGTCGGCCCGGTGCGTACCACGTAAACAGTATAGACCGGCACTAGTTTTCCTCCACTAATTACCTTATATTAATTCACTCCACGTTCTCCTTCCCTGGCCAGAGTCACCACCAACATTTGGTAACTTTCGGGATCGTCTTCCGAACTCCATGAGCGACGGATGCGGCTGGCTATAGTCAGCTGGGATGATCTGCCGGCACGCAATTTAGGCTGTGCCGTCCTTCATCCCTCCCGTCGATTACTGACTGCCATCCCCCGATCACGTATGTTGGCTTGGGCGGAGTCATGTACCCAATAATCACGATCAAAGTGAGGTTGCAGAAGGAAATTGGAAATCCCCGTTACACGTGCTGTCATGTCTCTCCGGGTCCCAGAGCTTAAGCCCTGGAGTCTGGAGTCGTGGAGTCTGGAGTCTGGAGCTCGCAAATGACACTGACCAGCATTCTTGCTCCCCACTGATGCATTCAACTTTTGATAAAACTTGTTCCTGCCGATCATGAGGCCTCATCGGAAGATCGACGCGTACAATGCTGCTCTGTCCGAAAAAAGGCCGAGCACCTACTAACGTACATGTACTGTGCTGCCACGAGACACGAGCCCACGATGCAAAATTACCTGCGCGTGGTGCATATTTCCACGTATAGTGACGTGATGCGGAGCTTCTAGTACCGAGTGAGAGTGACATGAGCCGGAGCCGGGGCAAACCCATGGGCTTAATTCTCATTGGATGAAGAATGTGACGGCCATGGATCGCACGATGATTTCATCCTTGAGAAGGTCCTTTTCATGAATGCAAACGCGGCAAGCTTATTTTCGGTGTCGGCATCTAGCCATAGTTTCATTGCGTCGCGTGTCCTGTCACCTTTCTTTTTTGCGGATACCCTCAAGGAATGCAGAATAGACCATTCGTGGAAACCCCGGGGAGTGACCGGAGTCCTCATCACTGCCCGGTCAGACAGATATGTCCGCCATCTTGGAGAGTATCTTTTCCACGAACCTCACACCCACCAGTATCCCATCGTCGTCGAGAAGTTCTCGCTCACTCCCAAATGCGGCATTGCCTGGGTCCAGGCACGTCAGACAGGCCACGACTAGATTGGTATATTTGTCGCCCACCCTGGGCGGTAAATCCTTGCGTGCCAGGCTCACAAAGTGCTCCTTGGTCTGGAGCCTCGATGCCGCGCCAATTGTGGCAAAGTCCGTGTCAGACAGCCTCAAGCCCAGGCCTAGTCCCGGAACGGGGGTCGCATCGTCGCTGTTCATGTTTTCTGGGTACCACACAAACGACGTCCAGAGTCCAATCTCCAGCAAGCAGACGCCGAGGCTGTAGATATCGTGCTGCATAATGTAGCGATGTTGCACGCAGGTAGCCTGTCGCTGTGGATGGCGGTAGAGATTGAGGTGCCAGCGCGGATCACCCTTTAGGTGTGTCTGAAAGCACGTGTCTCTGAATTGGCTGAAGCCCGTGAGAAAGGCGGAGCCAAGGGCCGATCCATCATCACCCTGAAATACCAGCACGCTCTCCGGTCGGATGTTCTTGTGAACAAAGTCACAGGCGTGGACGTAGCTTACAGACTGCACCAGCTGTCTGGCGACCCTGACCACAGCGCTCACGCTCACGGGCTTTCGCTCCAAGAGAAGCCCGCGTAGACTGGTCGGGTTCATGTCGGCGCGGGTCTGTGGTGCTGAGTATATCATGTCCATGGACTTGATCCGTTGCGACTCGTCGTACTGTTTCACGATGCCGAAGCACCGAAGCAGGCTAAAGGTCCGCGAATCGACGCATTTGAGCTTCCGTGCCAGATTTTCAGCGGATTGTTTGACATGGGAAATATCCTCCCCCAGAGAATGAACAGTCTCGGAAATGAGGAGCTTGTCCGAGCCACGGCGGAAGACGACCCGAGCTGAAGAGAAGGGTACAGGCGTTATTCTTGCGTCTTTCAACCCTGAAGAGTCGAGATTGATGCTCAGGTTGATTCGGTCTGTGGGCTCGACAGTGCCGCTCTGGGGCCTGATGGCGTGTCGCAAGGCCAGCATGCTGTGTAGCGGGCTTGAATCAAACGCCTTCTTGGCAGGATTGGCTCTCCTACTTTCCCACAGCTCGGCATCAATCACCCTATTCCCGATGAGGGTGATAATGAACCAAGTCGGATCGAACCGTGCCTGCCACGTCTCCATATCCGCCAGAAGCTCATCGAGTTTATCCTTGACGAGCGCATGCTTCAGCTTTCGCCGGTGTGTCGACGCGGGCAGATCAATCTGCGACGTGACTTGGACCAGCTTGCCGTGCAGCTTTAGCAGTAGGTTGATCTGGCTCTCGGCCAGCTTGTCGTCGAGGTGCTCGGACACCTTACTCAAGAAGGTGAGCTGCGTCTCCAACTTGGCCCATAGGCCTTCGATCACGACAATTTTGTCGTCGAGGGACTCGTCGGTGTCGCGGTACGCCCGGTATGTGTCTATCGTCTGGCGACCCAGTCTGATGCAGCCATCCACCGTTGCAATCACGGCCAAAACCAGCTCTGCGACCATTTTCTTCGCGTGTGTGATGCGAAGAGAAGAGGATGATACAAGGGGCCAGCTTGACGCGACCCAACTGGCCGCAGGCAGATCATGCCGCAGCTGGACATCGTAGCCGACAAGGCAGACTCGTTGGCGGCTTTGCGATGTCGGCGGCGTGCATGAGGATTCCTTCAGCTCACGCCGGCTGCGTGGGATTGTGATTGATGGCAAAAGGTCGGCGCTTGAATGCCCCAACATTCAGCTGGCGTCTACCAAGCCAACCACGCTCGTGTAAACGCGCGAGTCACTCGTGTCACTGTCGGGTCCTTACTCCTTCTGTAGTCAACTTGCACGTCGAATCCACATCACGTTGGACAGGTCTCTTTTGCTATACCCGATCCCGAACATAGGTCCTGTGGTCATTCAATTGAATAGAAACCATGCCGGCACGAACAGCTGCCTCCGACTTGGTGCTCGACGCGAAGCTGGACACCGAATTCTTCGACAGCTGCATCAGGCACACGCGCTTCGTCAAAGGCCCTTCGGCCCTCGAGCGTCGCACTCGAATTCGAGAAGTATGGGACATTGGCAGAATCATCGGCCGAGGGTCGTTTGGCTCCGTCCGCATCGAGTCCTGCCGAACGATGCTGTCTGGCCAGCAGAGCCAATCGCGGATTCGTCAACGAGCCGTCAAGAAGATAAGCAAGGACTCTCCTCACCAGGGGAGGTGGGATTATCTAAAGGAATTGGAGACTGTCATCAAGTTCTCGCATGAGCGTGTAGGCTGCCCAGTCGCCCGTGGGTATACAATGTCTGACGGTGGCTGTGTTCAGTATGCTCCTTACTTTGTGCGCACCGACGGCTGGTTTGAGACTGCCGAGCACGTCTTCATCACCCTCGAGTATCTCCCGCACGGCGATTTGCAGCACTTTATGAACGATTCTCCGCCCTTTGATGAAGAAGCAGTGCGACGGATCACCGGGCAGCTGCTGGAAGGCATCGCATTCATGCACGATTCGGGCTTTGCCCACCGAGATCTGAAACCCGGGGTGAGTTCCGCAAGGAGGCACTAGACTAGCCCCGCGATTGCAGCCATCGAATGCTAAAGGGACAAATCCTTGAACAGAATATCTTGGTCGAAGCCGCGTCTCCGGACTGGCTGGTCAAGATCGCCGACTTTGGCATCAGCAAGCGGGCGCAAGAGGGCGGGACAGACCTGCGGACCATGCAAATCGGCACCTTTGGCTACATGGCTCCAGAAGTCATGGGATTCTTCTCGGGGAACGATCCCTCCGTCGCGTATTCCGTGACAGTCGACATTTGGGCGATAGGCATCATTGCGTTTGAGTTACTCTTCAAGAGACATCCTTTCGCCAATGTCAAACACATTCTTGATTATGTCACGGGTACCGAGGAACTGCGTTTTCCGGGACGGTCTGAGCTGGGAACCACTGAAGTATGCCTAGATTTCCTTCGCAGTCTGCTCACACCGAGCCCAATTACGCGACCGACGGCTGGAGTGGCGAATAACCATTCTTGGTTTGCACGGGAACCATCCCCGATGGACGCAGAAGAATCGTGAGACCCCCGCAGCCCCATACGGGCCGTTGAGTAGTGAGCTGACGAAACATGATGCAGACTCTTCGTCGAGGCAAGTCTACCAAATGGCCCCATGGCAGCCTTCCCTGCTGCGACCCCAGCTTCAGTGGCATGGAGTGCATCGCAGCTCAACGGGGGCACGCAGACCACAGTGACCCTGCTGCCTACGTATCAGGGGCATCAGCTCGACGCAAGCATACTGATTCCAGCCTTCAGGCACCTGGATCTGGAGAGGGTGAGAAGACCCAGTCATTGCACAATGAGGACAAGAGCTCACGCCATTGCCTCAGACCAAATATTGTATCCTTCGATCCGATAACGAGTTCGATATCGAGACGAGTGCGGCCCATGGCGTCTGGACCTCGAGTCAGCGGGTGAACAAGATGCTTAACAAAGCCTATCTCAAGACGGGAGGGAAGGTCGTCCTGTTTTTCTCAGTCATCAAAAGGTGAGCGCTGCTCTAGACTCTTGCCACTTATCATCTCGGTGTCGTCTCTAATGTATATATTTTCGCCAGTCGCAAGTTTTGCGGCGTTGCGCAGATGACGAGTGAGATGGACTGGGACAACACAGACGAGCACTGGTTCGAAGACGCGTGGTCAGGGTAAGTACTAAGACGGACTCCTACTGTCCACTCCCAAGTACACATCATCGCTAACCACGGCCTTTCCACCGTACCTAGTCGATTCACGCTCGACTGGTTGACCCTGAATGAGGTGTCATTTGACCTGGTCAAGCACGTCCCGGTGAAGCCAAGCACGCCTGGGTTTCGCGCAATCTCTTGCTACGATGGAACGGAAATTGCAGCGTCATCTGCCTTCGAGCTCTTGAGGGCGTTCGCCCCCAGACCAAATGCGCCGCCAGCACGCCAGCACCCGATGGATGTTGATAGCGCGGAAACATTGTGAGCATGGCAGTCCCAGTAACTGGTTTACTTCCACTTGGTCCGCCTGAGTGTGTACAGTCCTCATTTACTTGAACTAAATGACCAGGAACTGATGAGCTGTTGAATCGAGCTGGGAAACAGAGAACCATCGCCTCCCAGCAGGGGGGCCCATCCGGGGGCAGGTTTTTCAAAGCAATCGTGATTCCCCACCACTGACGGCGGCGATGTCCGGCAAAAACAAAAGGAGCAAAAACATACAACAGCCGGTATTCGCTGGTCGTCACCGACCCAACTACTAATCAGCCCCTCAGCGGCTTGACTATGGGAGAGCGGACGGGATCCCGTATTTTCCACTGGGTATGGTCGTATGTACCGATTTGTGACGATAGAAAGTTACATAATGGAATTTCCACGAAGCTTAGAACGAAAGAAGCAAAACAACAGCCGGTATTCGCTGGTCATCACTGACCCAACTACTCATCAGCCCCTCAGCCTTACCTGCGATGATGGCCGGGGTGCTAGAATTGACGCTGTTCGAGCACACGGCTCAGGGCTACACAGCCGCCGTGGCAGACCGCACGACGCAATCAACCATCTCTGATTTGGAACACCCTGGGTCCTAGCCAAAACTCAAGTGGTCCAGCATTACATACAACATCACAACGTCTCTTCTCGCAATGTTGGGAGCAAAACTTTGGCCTAGAGGTTTCAAGAACCGTCAACAGCCTCATGACCAATTCCCGACACAATGGATACCTCTGGTGATTTTTCACTTGTCTCATCGCTTCGTTTCATTTTTCACTCCTAGTGCTGTACTTTCTGCAACCTACTCCAGACAGGATCAAAGGCGACTCATCTTGTGAAGGAGCTCGCGCGAAGTCTCCAGGAAATACGGATCGCCAGCAGGCTCCTGAAGAGGACGGCTGTGGAAACGATCTCGTCCAGCTTTCCATGGAAGATAATGACATGGAGGCGCAGCTACGAAGGAAGGCCTTTTGTTGCCTTTGCTTCAAGATGAAAATGGATGCTAGGGAGCTGACTTCGACACTCATCGCATGTATCGCACTCAGTGACGAAGTCAAGACTGATGAGTATCATGGTCCCACCCTTCCGCCGAGGAGCTCTATCGGCATCACAGAGCTCTTCAGCTGCGCAGTGACCAGGCATGCGGCGAAAGGCTCCACCGCTTACGGTCGCAAAACATGATCTTCATAAAGATCATGGTGAGGCAGGAGTTGTTTAAAAAAGGATCGATGGAGCACGAGTGGTTGAGACGGAAAATTGACAAAAAGGTCATGGAAGATACTCTAAAGTCGATTCAACGCCCTGACAAGGTCTACGTGCCAAGTCACCGGATCACGCGAGACCAAGCCTCGAACATGAGAGCCAGAATAAGATAGAGCAAAATGATCCATTACCGAATGTGGTGAGTCACCATGGGGTTGCGCAACTGTCTTAGAAACCTTGCCATTCCTAGGCCAGCTTACGGTAGGTAATTGTGCGATGTGTGGTGTGTTGTGTCTAAAAGCCAGCTTAAAAAGGTACATACTCGAGCTTGTGAGAGACCTTTGAGATCCCCCTGCCTCGCGTTAATAACTTATCCAGCATGAACAGGGCTCTGAATCCAACGCACAGCCCTCTGTCCACATCACCGGCTTATACTTTTTTAGACTCCCATCGCCTGGCCACCATCCGCACCAGATACACCAGCCCGATCAAGACGGGCACCTCAATCAAGGTTCCCACCGTTGCGGCCAGTGCTTGCTGACTGTCGGGCCCGTACGCGGCGACGGCGACGGCGATGGCTAGCTCAAAGTTGTTGCTGGCCGCCGTGAAGCTCTGCGTCGCGGACAGCGGGTAGCTGAAGCCGGCACGGCGCGCTATCCACAGGGTGACGAAGAAGACGGTGATAAAGTAGACGATGAGCGGGGCGGCCACGCGGACGACGGACACAATCTGCTGGACGACCTGGCGACCTTGCGATGCAAAGAGGACGAGAACAGTGTAGAGCAGGCCAATGAGCGCCCATGGGGAGAGAAAGCGTAGGAAGACGCCATCGTACCATTCCGCGCCGGCCAGCTTGCGCAGGACGAAGCGGGTGATCACGGCGGCGCCCAGAGGGATGCCGAGGAAGACGGCGACACTCGTAGCAACGACCGAGTACGAGATGACTTTGGCCGCCGCGTCGCCGCCCATGACGCTTATGAAAAGGATAGCCATGGGCGCATAGAGCACCATCTGCAGAATCGAGTTGACGGCCACAAGGATAGCGCAGTACTCTGCGTCCCCGCCCGCAAGTCCGTTCCATATGAGGACCATGGCTATGCACCTGGCGAGGCCGACGAGGATGAGACCCTCGCGCAAGCCCGGTTCGTCCGGGAGGAAGGCCCACGCGAGTCCAAGCTGCGCTTGTCAATCGAGTGGTCACTGCACGGGGTGAGGTTGTACGACGTACCATGAGCAAGGGGGCCACGATCCAGTTGATGAAGATGCTAAAGGCAATCTGCTTCCAGATGGCGCGGTGCGAGAAGACCTCGGGTAGCGCCTCATAGCGGACCTTGCACAGGATCGGATACATCATGACCAGCAGGCCAATGGCTAGTACTGTCAGTCAGGCGGCTGTGGCAAAGGAAGATGGGCCCAGGATGCACTCACCAATGGGTATGGACACGTCGACAAACTTGCCCTGCTGGAGGGCCGGGCCAATGTTGGGGACAAAGTTGCCCAGGATGATGCCAATGGCCATGGCGAGGAAGATCCAGAGGGCCAGAAGCCTGTCGAGCCAGCCCAGGGCCTTGAAAGCAGAGGTCTGGGTGGCGGACCCGGGGTCAGCCTGCTTCTCATGGGGCCCAGCGTCAGGCTGAAGCGGCGCGAGGCCCTTCTCAGCATCGGCCTCTTGGGGCACTGTTTCGTTGGCCACGATGCCTGTGGGCGTGTCTGGCGACGCAGATGCGTCGGTCGATGCGAGGGCAGGCATGTTGGTACGGCTCGTCGAGGCAGAACGAGGTCTGTTGGGGCTTGTGGACATTGCTGTTACTTGGCTGTAAATATGCTGTTGATGAGTGTATCGAGCGTGTCACAAGTTTCAGGGTCCAAACACCGAAGGCTGGCCCGGCCGTATAAATACTCAAACTTGGTCGGTCTTGTTCCAAATTTGGAGACTCGCACGTGGGCCCGACGCCCACGTCATCTGCGGTCGAACCTGCGAGAGCCATGTATAATTGATAATCAGTGGGATTGAGTGATGACAGAACAGTCCGTCTAGGTCCTGGACTGAAATTCAACTCTAGATCAATGGACCCAGGGGCCAGGGGGGCAGCGGCCAAGAAACTCTGGATGGCGTTTCGGCTCGTTCCGGTTCCTCATTCATTGTCTGCGCAGGTGACCAATCAGAGGCAGGGCGTGACAGATGTCCCTCTTGGTCTCGGCTCTTTTTTCCCTCTTGTCTTCTGTTGCTGGTGCATTTGTATGTACATAGTGTAGCCATTCCCAGCATGCCTCGTATCTTGTCCCGGACGTTTTCACTTCCTGGTACCCTCAGACTTGTTCACGTGCTTGCGTCCTTGCCGTCCGCAACCAGTCACCACCCCAAACAGAGACCAAGACAGATCATTCGCACCCTTCTGCTGCCCGCCATGGAAGCAACCGCCAAGCCGTGGCACGCCGCCTATCCAGCGCCTCGAGCGGTCGACCTGCGCAAACTGACACCCGCCCAGGTGCTGGACTTGCTGCGGAGCGCGGACGCTGGCAGCAGTGGGCAGGCACCAACCCTGGTACTCGTCGACCTGCGCCGCAATGACCACGAGGTACATCCCCTTCACACTCCCGTGCCTTTGTCCACTGCTCGAGATCTTGCCGCTGACCAGGAGGCATCGACATAGGGTGGCACGATTCGCGGATCCATCAACCTCCCAGCCCAGAGCCTCTATCCAACCATCCCGACGCTGTACAGCATTTTCCGCGCCGCCGGCATCCGGACGGTCATCTGGTACTGCGGTGAGTTGCCTGCCGTCTTCCCAGACCTTTTCACGCCCAGGGGACGTTCCTTCCTGCTAACGCTGCCCCTCGTCCAGGGTCCTCCCAAGGCCGTGGCAGCCGAGCCGCCGGATGGTTCGCTGACTACATTGCGGAACGCCAGGGCGCAGGAATGGAGAGTGCCATCTTGGCTGGGGGCATCAAAGCGTGGGTCGCCGCCGGCGGCGAGCATCTCGACTACATGCACGAGTACGATGCGACCAAATGGGACCAGCAGGTGTGATGAGGACATGAGGAGCGACGGCCTTTTTTGGAATGACTACTGGCCACAATCACCCCATCTCTTTCTGTTCATTACATGTACATTTACAAACACCTGCTCTGGACCGCGCTCAACTTCCAAGGGTTCCATGATTCGTACAAAATCGCTGCGCCCTGAGGCTCCGCTCTGCTCCGGATCAAGGAGGAGAAGCCGAAGTCCGGACCCGAATCCGGATCGGAGTGGAGTGGAGTGGAGCCTGCATCGGGCTTTGGTTTGATGTCACTGGCCGGCACGGGCTAAAGTCCCGGAGCCCTTCCAGCCTCATCAGTCATCACGCTGCATACAGGGGCGGCAGCAGGTCCTACACGTAGGGGTCAGCGTTTCAACTAGGCTGGCAAAGAGGGCATGTTCCGAGTCTACGCACATTCTCATGCTGTACGTCTGCGTCCACGGCGGTGCAGCACACGTTGTCCTCGGGCGACGACAAGAACAGTGGCGGCGTGAGTCCCCGACTGTCCGCTGCTCTGCGCACTGACACGGGGGCCTTCTGCGCGGAGCTCGGGTAGGCGACCTGCAGTGGAAACATGACATACGACGGCTTGGCGTGGACACCGCTGATGGATACCTTGGCGATGATGGCGTACGACGAGGCCGCATAGTCGCTGCAGAAGCTCGGTGGCAGCTTCAGTGGTGGCTTGATGGGAATATTGACAGCTACACACCATGGCGGACCCTCCTCTTCGGCGGTCGTGGCAGGAGCGGCGGTCACCGTGCTCCCTCTACGTACGTCTCTTGTGCTCCACTGCAATGACGAGAAGCTCTGCACGTCGAGCTGGATCACATTCGTGTGGAGCTGGATCCGGCCGGACGCCTGCACGGACTCCCTTCCCGGGTTAACCGTCAGTTTCGTACCGCTGTAATACGTCCTGGTCTGAAGCACCGGGTCGACCTTGATGGACCCTGCGCGCAGGCGATGAAGATGGGACGGGTGGCCATTGAATGTGATCCACATGGTGAAGTGCGTCGTCGAGAGCTGCTCAGAGTTATCGTAGATAAGGGGCGGTGGCTCTCGCACCTTGAACGTGATACGCCCTAGATTCTGTCCAAGGAGCCACCTCCAGGCGGTCTGGCTAGCAGAGAGGACGTACTCATCCGGGAAACAACTCGTTTCGATAGGTGGCTGGGCCTCGATATAGGGGAGGCAGGTCACTGGGTAGACAATCTCGGCAGATTTTGTGGCATCCGGCGAGTCATCTCCGGAAGGAAAGCAGTACGCCACAGAGGCCCGCAACGAGTACGATATGAAGACGTTGGGTGGTACGGTCGGGCTCCAGGTTCGAAAAGCCGAGCGCTGGATGTGGAAGGATGGCGGCAGCGGCTTACATTCGTCTTGCGCCCGGTCGCTGGTCCGGTCGAGTCCAGCGGGGACCACAAGCACAAAAGAGGCCGTGTAGACTCGTTGACCATCTTCCACGGCGTAGCCGTCGTCAAGCTGCAGGCGATGCCGAAGATGAAGGAACTAGGGAGACCCGGGTCAGCGTACAAAAAGGACGTAGGAGTGTAGACTAGACTCAACTCTTTCTGCGCCGAACTGGTCGCGATACACGCTATCGCGCGATGATATGGCGCGCCGGATCAAGACGGACTCGTGGCCTTTGTGCAAAAACGGTCAGTCGCCGACCCGGAATGGCACGAGAGCGCACACTGATCAAGTACCTTGGAGGGACACCTCGACCCAGCGGCCGCCCATGGCAAGCTCTGTCGTGATACGGTAAGTGCCATGGAGGGCGTCGCCCGGACGTAAGCGACATTCACTCGTCGCGTCTAAGTTGGACAGGATGCCGCTCTCTACAGTGAAGGTGAGACTTGAGTGGATGGGACCATGGGACGAGGACGTCGTCCAGAACCGAGTGTCTCTCGCCATGACTATATGCTGCGGGGGGGGTGGGAGGAGAGAAAATGATCACAAGTGCTTCCGGAACCGTTGGCAGTTCGTTTACAGCAGGCTACGATGATTTATACAACATGGCGTTACACGCATCGTCTCGAACCGCGCTCTGCGTGCCTTTTCCAAAAGGCAAGGGGCCATCCATACTCCTGTGTGTGTCAGCTCGTCCATCCCTCTCCCCGTGGATAGCAGTTGGCAGGGGTGAAGCATGTGTCACGCCCGAAAGCTCATTGGTTAGCGAACATGCCGCCGCCACGAGGCCGGACCCTTACACGCACCTCTAGTCTAGATCAAACTCGGCGGTGACAATACTATCGGGCATTCATGGCCCATACGTGATAGACAATGCGGACCAATGATCTCGCCTAGGATTTGGGCGTGCATTAGCACCTCGGCCATACATGCAAGCAAGTCATGAGGAGGAGGTCATGGCCTCGATACGTACTGGGAAATGACGGACAAACCCAAGGAGATTGAGTGCTCCATTAGAAGCCCTCTGTCTCTGTAGTTCGATATGCCTTGAGAATCTCCCCTGTCACCCACTCTGCATGGCGCAGAAAGCCGACCAATGTTGAAAATCTCTGAGAGCATATATCAAAATCGAGTCTACCACTCGTGTTTTGTTGTTCAACCCACGTGCTTTACTCGAGAAAGTTGCTCGAGGACCGAGATCACTTGTACATAGACCCGCGAGCACCTTGCTTCATAGTCAACGTTCAAGCACACAGGCTACCCCCATTGCCGACTGCCCTCGTCGTCTTCATTCCAGCTTCTACATCCCTGGTCGCCTGCCACGAAAGCCAGAGCCAGAGGAGCGCTTCCTCGCCCCGACGGCTCGTCTCCCCCTGTATCATTCACGAAGTCTGGGCAGCTGTGTCCTGTACTGGCTGCTGCAGGGAGCTGCGCGCGACTGTGTCACACACTCGTCCGCTCACCTAGGCGAGAAGCCCTTGGTGGCTTAGCTATAGGAGAGTGGACGGGATCCCGTATTGTCCACCGGGTTTACTCAAGTATATAGCACGATTATACAATATTTACTCAACAGAATGACTGCTCTTCAAAAACAAATTATAGTATTGTATATACCATTTCATTGCGGGCATCTCAAAGACGTACTGTACGTGGTTCCGTGATCCAATGAAACACTATTATCACACAGCAAGCAATACAATGGCGCAAGGTACAGTTGATCACTTGATCCGAGTACGTCCCGCATGAATAATAGGCAACCAAACCCAGCAGCTGAAAATGGCGAGCCACAGACTTCCGTCCAGCTCCCTCCACCACCGCATCAGCGTCGGGTCCACGCCTGGGAGCCACCACCACGACGGATCTTCTCTGATAACATCCAGTAGATACTCCCGGGTATCGCGGTTCGCCCCAAGCCAGATGTTGCGTTCCCTGCGCAGAGCGAGCCATATTTGTACCTGGAACGCAAACACGAGGATCGACATGTGTGTCAGCACGGTCGAGAGCGCTGTCAGGTCCAGAGCCGGTGGCTGACAGCAATTAATGTCCCACGCGAGAACCATGGAGAACAGCCGCGCCATGCTCCGAAACACGGATGCGAGTAGAAACCAAAATACAGAAGCCCATGCTGCCTGCTGCTTATGGATAAAAGCCAGGAGGCGAGAACGCACGGCAGCCGCCGTAACAGGATTGGCACATGCCGTTGCTTGTGGGACGCTCGCAGCTGCTGCTACCGGAATGCTGTCTTGCTCGACATTGAGGATTGCTGGTAGTGAGTTGCTGCGACGGCGGCGCTGATGTTGTTGAGTCGGCGACGGCATGAAATTGCGAAACACTCGAATCCTTTCCTCGAGAGTTTGGGCGGGAGCAAGCTCAGCCTCCGAATCTACCTGCTCGAGGATCGGTGAGAGTCTACGCACTTCAGAGTCACTCAAAACGCTTTCCGTGTCCTCACTGCCCTCAAAAAATGGCAATTCATCTGGTAGGCCACCGTGTCTATCGCGGTGGTTCACAGGCGGTGGCCCTAATTTGTCAAAGCAAGGGCTGCTTTCGAGATCCAATGTCGTGGCCGGGGCCAAGTAGAGCTTAAGCCTGTCTTTCTGCGCTGGGCCTGCGACATGTCCACTGATGGAATATCCGTTGTCGCTGCTCCATCTTGATCTACCGAGTTCACCTCGCAGACCAGATCTCCGCCTCTGTTCTTCTTCTTTTTCCTCCGCCTCCGCCTCCGCCTCCTCTCGCGCACGACGGTGTGCATCTTCTATAGCTTGGTCGATTGCTTCTCTGCGAGCCTTGCTAGAGTCGTCTGGCAGAGGCAGGTTGGGCATGGGCAGGCCTGAGCCGAACAGCGCTGCCCAAACATCCTCCCGAGCCTCTTGACTCTGTATGTGTTGAAAGGGATACTCCGAACCAGGACTCGACTCTGGCGTCAAACTTGAAGTGGAAGTCCTGGCCGTTCGTAGAGGCTTCTCGACCCGGAAGGACCCGGCGGCCCTGGAGAAGCTATCAGACGAGCCTGGGCCATTCCCTGTCGAGCAACGCTTGCGACCTTGACGACTTCGCTCTATACTGGAGCGTCGTCTCCACGCCTTGACTGCGGCCTTCGCTTCTTCGTCAGTGTCGACGAACGAACTCTTCCGCCTCCTCCTGAGACGTGGCCTGGTCTCGTGCAAAGTCCGGTAAACGTCAGCTAGCTCAACATCCGACTCCTTGTCCTCATCTTCGTCGTGCACGCTGTCTTCGCTAGAATTGTCGTCCTGGAGTGCTTCGACCTCGCTACCATCAGCTACGTCGGCTCGGGCTCGGTTGTCCTCAATCGCTTGTCTCCGCTCAGTTTGTCCATTTTCCTGCTGGTTCATTTTTATTCTTGTTGACGCAATTGCGACGGCGTCTAGAACGAAGCCATAGTCACATAGGAGTCGAATATACGGTTCCTCTCCAGCCTTGACAATATCAGAAACCCGTTCTATAATCGTTGCTTTTGAGTCGTGAAGCTCCGCTCGGTCTTGTTCGCGCATCAGGCCCACGTCGATGAGATCGCAGAGCCGGAAAACAGTCTCTTGGAGCTCGGCAACCCTCTTGTTCTGCTGCGCTTGTATGTCGTCGTTATAAGCGAATTCGGCCCTGAGCGTGGGGAATCGCTTGGGAGTCCATGCATGCAGCCAGGCGACGGCATTCACATGGCGTTGATCAACGTCTGACAGCTTCTTCTCCTTTTCGCCATTGGACGCTGCTGGCTCAGATCGGAAGAACCAGTTGTCATTCTTGCGGACGCGCCGCGGGAGAGAGGTCTGCATTGCTCACGTTTATTGTCAAGTTGAAGTGAAGTTAATGCTGCAGCGACCATTCATTTCTTCTCGCCGTTGTGGTGAATGAGAGGTCGAAGAAGCAGGAGCAGGTTGAAAAGACAATCGCAGCTTCGCAAAGGCAAGGAGACAATTCTCTCTTCTTCGCGCCGTCCAAGAGACATTGAGCTATGACCCGACCATGACCCGAACCTGCGTCTGCTATGGCTGTCTGGGGTCGTGCTCGACTATTCCTTTGTTCGCGACGCTATTACAGTCGAGCGCCGTCCGTGCACCTCTCTAGAAAGGATCGCACTCTTTGTGGTGACCTATGCGTGGCCAATCTCCAACGGGGGCTATGGTCTTCTTTGTGGCTCATCACAGACCAGCTTTCGCGGCGAATGTCATCGCCAGTGTCCAGGGGAGGACACGAAGATCGAATCCGACCTAGGAGCTGCAATCGCAGAGCTCAAGTTGGAATTCACTTGATTTGTACAACACTGGACTGCCACAAGGTAATCATTGTGCGGTTGATGCCCCGCCATCAGCTGTACCAACCTCGCGCACCTGGGCCCCTCTGGTGCGTCTCTACCCGGTGCTCTATCATGGGCTCTTCAATTTCTAGGGTCTGCACGATCTCTTGCCATGTAGCCATGTCCATGGACAGGATCGCCTGATGTTTAGCCGCGTTGGAACGGCTCCGCGGCTCGGCCTCTTCGTCCTTCCACACAATCGCTTATGCTGCGTCAGTGAAGAGCAGTAGTACAAGGGTAGGGGACTTCTTACATAATGCTGGAATGCCATGCTTGTCGTATTCGATTTGTGCCCTCCCGTCCCGGATAAGAAAGCTGACATAGAACATGTTTTCCACAGTCTGCCCAAAGGACCGAGGGTTTGTCACGAACCTCATAAGGTCCACGCCACCTGTGTTTCGGAGTCCTTGCTCGTGCATGAGCCGCTCTGCTTCATCCTCGGAGATATCATCGGTGATGAGCTCTTGGAGGATCTCCTGCTTTGCCTGCTGGACCGTCTGCAGCCGCTGTAGGATCTTGCCACAGAGAGCTGTCAGGTCATTCTCCCTTGTTTCGAAATCGGACACATTCAGTACTTCGGGCCGTGTTTCTTCGAGGTTGCCTGGACGGAAGGGCGCAGATCGCTTCGTGATCTTGCGGACTTTCTTCTCCAAAGACAAAGGTCCGAGGAGGAATCCCGGTAACGCTGGTCTCCGAATGTGCGGTTGAACAGCGAACCGTCCAAGATGCGGCCAATTCATCATGTCGCCGTCCTCGTCCTCGTCCTCTTCCCCGCCCGTCGCGCGCTGACCTCGAGATTGTCTGCGATGCCTCTGCGTGGATGACAATTCGGCAGCGTCATCGTCAACAATGCCTCCGCCCTGTCGCATGTAGATGATGCATTTTGACACAAATTCGTCCACGTCGAGCCCCTGGGCGGAGCTGCCTTGTGCTAACCGCAGGGTCCTGCGGTATGATAGATCGGTTGTGCTGACCAGCAACCGCGAGTCGCTTGCTGCTTCGCCGGGTCTCCTGACTTTCTTCAGGTACTCGTCCGCACGAGCAATGGTGTCTCTGAGGCCAGTAGAATTGGTCTGAAGGTACTCTTCCGAATTCTCGGTTATGTCTTTGAGCAGGTTACGAAACCCTCGCTGGACCTCGCGGCGCTCTTCGAGGGGCTGGTCGGGGTCGTAGATGTCGCTTCCGCCGTCCGAGTCATTTCTCTCCTCGTCTTCACCGTCTTCCCCATCATCCTCAGCTCGGGGCTCGGTCGTCCGCTGACGCTGGTTGGAACCGCCCCCAGTCGTTGTGTCCGCTCTTTTTCGTTTCGATACCGAAGCGTCACGTGTATTGCGTCTTTCGCGTACGGCCAGCGTAGCCTGGGCGCTATCTGGAGCAGAGTCCTCTGGAGAGGATCTGTCGTATGAATTTGTACGACCGACGCAAGTAGGCATGATGTGCTCAAGGGCACTGGTGCCGTTACACGAATTGCCGCGATTTGGGCGCCCTCATGTAAAGTTTGAATCAATGCAGCAACAGTCTGGGTTGGTCGCAAGTAGACTGGGCGCGTTGTGTAGAGACCGTGAGCTCGCTGGCGACGCGTAAATTGAATGTGGGAAACGCGACTTGTCGGATCCACGGTGGGGTGCCGTTCACGTTGGTGAGGATGGTCGACGCCCTCTGGTTCATGCCTACCCTGGACATACAAAGTATTATTTTCCCATACATGATACACCTGCAGATATCGACTAGCAATATCATTATGTGCGCTGATCAGTCAGCATATTTTTGACAGTCCAATACCGTATTTCTGTTTTTGTATGGTTACTAGTGGTTGCCACGAGTATTTGTATGCCGGATTGTAGCGTCACAAGCGAGCCTAGCACATCACACCTGGGGCCAAACATATAATGAAGTAGAGCACGAGCTCATAACAAGATCATGGGTTTTCGTAAGCCCCGTGCTGTAACAAAACATCTTGACTGCTATTTTCCCCACAAGCCGTGCTTCCCGTTGATCGAGCTGACATGGCTTGGCCGGACAATGCTCTTCTCAAAGTCAGCATGTGTCAGGGTCTAGATGCTCATTCATCATCGAACGAGTTTGGTGATCCGGAAAGTCGGAAGACAGGCACCGTCTGTCGCCAGGGAGGGCGCGGGGTAGCGGCGTTCCATCGAGGAAATGCGGATTTTCCGTGACCGCTGACGTACGGCAAACCTGATTATATCGTCCGTGCTGTCAGTTGTGGGACCTTAGCCCAGACATATATCGACCAAGCTAGACTAGGTACGGCTAGTCCAAGGGGAGTCTACTACGACTCTCACGAGCTGCACTGGCCACCTGAAAACGGGACAAAAATACTTAAATGGACCCCTATTGTGCAGAAGTGCACTATCAGAAAGTACAGCAATAGTGGACGCTGTGGCCTGAGCGTGGGCAAAAGTTAGGTCGCAGAGGGAATTGAACCCTCATCTCGAGAATCAGAATCTCACGTGCTAACCATTACACTATGCAACCTGTTCCACGAACGTTTCCTAAGAATTACAGGTTATATTCAGGTCATTGTTGAATAACACCTCACTTGACTTCCTGTATAATCAGAACAACACATCTTGCTTTACTATTGCGCCTGAATCATCCCACTACCATTTCGAAGACTTTTTTTCCCCATCTTTGAGGCCTCCCAAGACAATCTGCGGCTGGTCGCGTGGTCGGCCAATACTCGCAGTGCTAACAAAGGTTCTGCTTATTTTGTCCTCCGAGGTGCATCATAGCCCTGTCCCCAGGCTGTGCAAGCGCGGGGCAAGTGTTCTCCCCACCCAGGAAGTGGGTGGAATATTATCTACTACCAAGTTGACGACCCGAAGTTCCGAATTGAAACTGTGGAAAACGTCAAATTAGCTGCAATTATGGCTTCGGAGCAGGTCAAAGACTCAGCAGTGACCTCACGTGCCCCCCCAGCGTTAGCCTAAACACCAGTGATGGCATGGCTGGCTGGCCACCCGTTTCTCCTCATCCAACATCTCCGTTCATCCACCCTTGCCGAGCGCAGCCCGCAATGGAACTTTGGGCCTATGAAATGCATATATGCACCTCGTCTTGTTGGCCTCTGCTGTTGTCCTGCTTCCATGCAACTTCTTTACCCGCTTTCCCCTGCGCCTCTTGAACGTCGGTCATTCCAATGCGATAGATAGGTTGGCCGCAAGACGACCCGACAAACCGCACCCCTCCCTGACCTCGCTCGTCCGAGCTTGCTCGTCTCACCTGCAGAGAAGCGATATCCATATAATACACTGCCAAGACCTATCTTTGTCGTTTCTTGTCTTGTTTCTTGATTCATAGTGTCTCGCCATCCGAGGTGGCTCCGCTCGCCAAGTACAGGAACGCGCAACACCACCATTCCTCCCTCTTCCACCTCTTCACTTCTATCTTCCCTGCATCTGGGTGCCGGTATCCTTTCTCCTCTACTTGCTCGCCCATTGTCACTCTCCCATTGAGACTCCTCATTTTCGTGCCGCCCGGGAAAGTCGCCAAGCTGCTCACCTGTCGTCATCGGCTTGTACCTTATCTCCATCGCATACTACCCCACGCTGGGCTGGCCTCCTCTAACTTGACGTCCACGATCGCGAAGTCCCAAGATGGCTGCTGCTACCTTGATTGCACCGCGCTACAGCGCCGATGATTTTGAGACTAGCTCTATACGATCTGTAGCACCCTCCTACGGTACGTCCTTGGAAGCCTCTCATGCTTCAACCCATCTCAGATAGCATACCATCCGCGCATAACACAATTATTAACGCCGGACGTCAGTCTCCGAGGCACCCTCATACCACTCCAGCACCTCGTACCACCAACACGAGCCTGTGCCAGAGTACACACCTCGCGAACCTCGCACGTGCACCACCAACACGACCACCACCACTAGGAACAACAACAGCAGTAACACCACCAACAGCAGTAACAACACCAACAGCCGCACGACTTCCTCGTCATCTCCGCCGAACCAGCCCACGCCATACGGTCTGCCACCTGTCGCCAGCACCCCTCAAGTTGGTCTACCCAGCATTCACAGCTTTCGCATCCCAAAATGGTCGACCCACAACGCTACATCATCGCGCCAGCTTCACTCTGTCGTCGAACGTCGCGTGAATGCCAGCCTAGAAGCGTCTAGCGCGGCAGCGGCAGCGGCAGCCTCTGCGCATCGAAGGACATTGTCAGCCGCGCACGGCTCGTCGTCCCCTAGACCGGTCTCGAGACCCTTGGAGGACCCGTACTTGGTTGGAGAGGAAGCGGCCTCGAGGGCGAAGCAGGAGAGGCTTGCTCGAGAGAGGGCCGGGGACGATGTCCTCGTTCGTGAGGACCAGCATTGGGACTGGCTCCTGGGTATGTTTCCTCGTCCAACGACCTGGGCCCCGCATACACTAACAGCTTCGCAGCACAGATGAAGACCTGGGATGAGCGTGAGCGGAGCTGGGCTCGGTTCCGCCGCGAGATGGAGAGCGGCCATCGTCCAAAGTTGCTTCACCGCATCGGGGGTCGCATCTGAACTGGCCGGATTAGTGGGGTGACCGTCAGGCATCACCTTTCCTTTGTCTCGCATTTGGACGCATCATGCATATTAGTTACTCGCGCGTCAGATTGGAGTTTGGAGGGCATTTGTTTGGGGATTCAAGTGTTGATACATAGCCTGCCTGACGAGCGCAGTTCGATACGGTCGTTCCATTCGCCCGTTGCTGCCCTTGTTTCGGACTTTGCTGTCGTATATAGCTAGCAAATTGCACAAAAGAATTGCTCAAAAGAATCGACCGTATACAAGCTACCGGATATCCTAGGTGATATGTCAAGCTTATGCCAGAAAAAAGAAAAATCAACTCCTGCTTTTCGCATTGAGCTTAACTGCCCAAAGCCTTTTCCACATCTTTGGCAGTCAGGCCTGGGGATAGATATACACGTTTTCGAACACCATGCACATGCACGTCTTGACACATGCCGCTTGCTTCTGCTGATAGTTCAGTGTGCGACTCCTCTGCCTCTGTATGTATGTCCGGTCGATGTGAGGGTGCCACCGGGAATTTAGCCCTTGCTCTTGGTGTTGAGGATGAGAGCAACGATGAGACTGTCTCCAATTAGCAGAGACCTTCAAAGCGCCAGGACTTCACGAACCCATAAAGACCCAAGACTTCGCCGAAAATCAGGATGAGCACCATGCCGACAAAGATACGCGATTGCTCCATGTACGCGCGCACACCACCATCACCAACGATGCCGATGCAGTATCCCGCTGCGAGGCCGGTCAGTCCAACAGAGAGACCACACGCCAGGTGCATGAACCCGGTGAAGAGGCTGTAGCTTTGCGCCGATGGGGGCTGGAGGTCCTCGGCGATGAGGACGGAGATGACAAGCGAGTAGACAGCGAGGATACCCGACATGATGACGGGGATCAGGCACTGTTGTTGTCAGCTTCGGAGGACGGATCGTTACGAGGCTCGCCTCACCTTCATGATCAGGTCCGGCCTGAAGGTTCCAACACCAGCAATTCCAATCCCTGATTTGGCCGTGCCGTATGCCGCCCCGATACCTGTCGCATCGTCAGCGTATGTGTTTTCGACGAGGCTTTACTTTCTCCGGGAGACAAACATCCGAAGATCATGGCAGAGGCGATACCAGCCTGTCGAGGTTAGCAAGATGCGATTTGAGGCTCAGGTCTTGCCACGGCATGACGGCATGCGTTTCGCGCGCCCAACGTACCATCCCAATGAAGGGCGCGAATTTGGGCGCCAACTCGGACTCGTCCATTTTGATTGATATCTGCGGGGTCGGCTCGGGTGATGACTGCGTGAGGTGATAGGGTTTGTCGTCGTCGAAGTTGCGAGAGCTGACTGACGTTGGGGGATTGGACACGGGCAGCTTGGAGCTGGAGGGATGATGCACCTGCGTACGCCCCGTCCACTTTGAGTGCAGTGCTGCCATTATTAGTAAACTCCAACATTGGCACCATTTGTACCGCCCACGTGACCTTTAAACTGAGATCCGGCTGAATCCCCGTTGGCCAGGCATGTACAGATATCCTCACTTTACGTATACTGCACACACTTGATCAGGCCTCCTAGTTCTACATAAATCGCGACCAGACAATGTTGCCACCTGTGCCTCATGGGTCTAACCATCCTTATGATCGCAAGGTCCAGCGGCGGCTCTGCCATCCAGTCGTTTGCAAGACGCTTGGCGAGAGCAAGCGGCAAATTCAAAGCGGCAAGCTGCGTAGTGTAATACTAGTAACCAAGTCTATACCTTATCTTGAAAAGTAGACAAGACCCAGACCATTTACTCCTGTCACGTTTCGAAAGGGAATCGTCGTCTTTGCATGCATGGTGAGGGTGCGGGCGTTGTCCTCTGCCTGAGTGAACTTGCCTCACCAACAAATGCGGTGTTTCCTGCCGCGGATTCATGAGGCAGGCACAAGCAAAATCCCCATTGCGCTTCGCTACCTCAGAGGCCTGCACAAGGACGACGTAAATTCCCTACTACCCTACCCTACCTACGATAATGCCTATGTGAGCTTTTGTTCAAACAGCCCACCGTCTCTTTGACGAGATCCTCAATCTCAGAAGTACTCGCGCTTCCTCTGCATCATTATCTTCTCTTCCCTACCAAGGCGGCCGATTGCCGACGCTGTGAAGTTGTGCGTTCGTTCCCCTTGCTCAGGCAGGCGGCCAGTCACCCCCCGGCGTCCGACAGCTTGGCTTGGCTGCGCTGCGGCCCTACTGCTCCAGACCAGACCCATCCGCCCGTTGCCCATCTCTGGGACCTCCATTCAACCTCGAATCCACCCTTTGATTCTCCTCCTGTCCCCGGTCCATTGTTGGCTACAGCCATAACTCGCAATCCCCATCACCCGCCCTCGAATCTCCCGTACGTTTCGAGACGCACCATACGACAACTGGTCTGTCAACGACTACCACGCAGGCCCGTTGGGCCACCTCATCAAGCAGTCCTTCTCCCACGACACCGTGCTGCTACGAGAAGTACGCACTTCATTCCTGTCGAACCGCAGATCTCGACCTGCCTCTACAGTCGAAATCGCCGTACCGCGCTTTCCCGGGCTGGGGTTTTCCCCTATCTCGCGACGCCTCTACGACCTTTATATCTATAGAGACTGCACTGGGACAATCGAGTCAGGTAGACCCGACCGGTGGAGACCTGTGCGTCGAGATCAATGTCAAGGGGGTCTCCCTGGGCGCTTGATATCGACGGTGCGAACACTTTAGCTTCCGTGGCTTCGCAGCAGAAAACCCTTCCCTCCAGCGACAATGGCCGACTATAACAATCATTATGATCCCCGAGCACCTCCCCAGCGGCCTCGGGGTGGCTACCCAGACCAGGGAGGCCACCAACGAGATGCTGCATTCAACAATATCTTCGGGGCGGCACCCTCGGGCAGGTCGCAGACAATGACATCTTCGTCCATGGCATCATTGCCGGACCAAGGCCGCACGCATACCATGTCGTCCATGAGTTCGGGCATGCAGCGACCGCCGCCTCAGCAGCGTTCATATCCGGGCTATTACGGCGACCATGATCAACCTTCTCAACGAACACGCACAATGGACTCGAGCAATGCCCCCGGCGGCTATTATCAGCAAGGTCAAAGGGCAGCGTCTGGTGGACATCCGCCCCCAGCTGCTGCTCAAGGGCAATACCCAGGCCACTACCAGCAGCCTACCAGGCGTCCATATCCCGCCGGTCAAGGTCCTGCCCCAACCCGCGGAGATCCGCGAATGGATCCGCGCATGGACCCTCGAGGGCCGCCAGCTGGAGCAATGGGCGCAAGACATGCGCCGCAGCAGGGACCTCCACGACCGTATCCAGGTGGCCAGCAGCCTCCTGCTGCTCATAATGATCCTTACAGATCGCAATCAATGGTGAACTCGGCACGTCCGCAGATATACAATCCTCCACCATCTTCTTATCAGGCACCTCCAGCGAATGCGTTTCGACAAGCACAATATTCGCAACAGCAGCCCTCCAGAACCACCGCGCAAGGCAGGATCGTTCCCGAGCGCCATGACGATCGATCCATGTCTATGACTGGCTCATACAACCCTCAGGATCGCCACGATGCACACCAGACCATGAGCGGGCGAGTAATCCCCAATCGAAGGGCCCCCAGCGAGGCATCTACACCCAACGGATACGCCCATCTCAACGGCCAATATCCTCCAGCACCAGGATCACAGACGAGAACGGCAAGTATGGCATCTTCTACGACAGCAGGCGGTGACCATGCCCGATCAATGTCGATGGCATCGACGATCGCACCAACGATCACTCATTCCGAGTCTGATGCCACTTCCATTGTTGCCTCACGGCCCTCTAGAAGCAAGTCTATCGAGAGTGAACGACCGATGACGGCGACCAAGATCCGCCCGCCTCTCGTCTACCCTGCCATGCTCTCGAAAGTTGGCGAGTGTTTTCGGCGCAAGATCATCACTGGCGACCGAACCAAGAACGAACTCACGTACAAAAACGCATTCAGCGGAAGCGAGGCCGTCGATGTCTTGTCCTATATAATTCGAACGACCGATCGCAACCTTGCACTCCTCCTGGGTCGAGCCTTGGATGCCCAGAAGTTCTTCCACGACGTTACATACGAACATAGGTTGCGCGACTCGCAGGCCGAGATGTACCAATTCCGGGAAAATCTGATGGAGGAACTGCCCGAAGACAAGCCGGCCGTCAATGGTGTCTTTGTGCTGCTGTCCGAGTGTTACTCGCCGACTTGTACGCGAGATCAGCTGTGCTACTCCATCGCCTGCCCACGACGCCTGGAACAAGTCTCGAGGCTCAACCTGAAGGTCACGACTGGCCTGCGCAAGCCTGATTCCGCCAATGTCGCTGATGATGAAGCCGACCAGACAGACGAGCAAAAACTCTGGATGAACTCGGTACCGCAAGAGATCAAGGACAAGACTTCAGAAAAGGAACAAAAGAGACAAGAGGTCATTTCCGAGATCTGCTACACTGAGAGGGACTTTGTGAAAGATCTGGAGTACCTTCGCGATTTTTGGATATTGCCTCTTCGTTCCAAGGCCTCCCCCATCCCGGCTCAGCGGCGCGAAAAAGTCGTCAAGTCCATCTTCAGCAACATCATCGACCACCCGAGTATTCACACTGTCAGTTCCCGCTTTGCGAGCAGCCTCACCTCGAGACAGCAGAAAGAGCATGTGGTGTATAATATTGGTGACATCTTCCTCGAGTACGTTCCTCTGTTTGAGCCTTTCATTTGGTATGGCTCGAAACAGCTCGAAGCCAAGTTCGAATTCGAGAATGAGAAATCGACCAACCCATACTTTTCGAAATTCGTCGACGAAATTGAAAGGAGAAAAGAATCTCGCAAGCTCGAGCTAAACGGATACCTGACCAAGCCTACGACGCGTTTGGCCCGTTACCCGCTGCTCCTGGAGAATGTGTTGAAGTTCACCGAGGATGGCAACCCTGACAAAGAGGATCTTCCCAAAGTCCTCACGATCATTCGCGACCTCTTGAGCAGAGTCAACGCCGAGTCTGGAAAGGCCGAGAATCGTTACAACCTGCGGAAGCTTCACGAACAGCTTCGCTTCCGGCCTAATGAAAGGGTCGATCTCCGACTCACCGAAGAGGGTCGTGAGCTAGTTGTCAAGAGCAACTTCAGAAAGACGCCCACTGATGTCGCCGAGATTACAGCGTATCTTTTCGATCACGCTGTCCTGCTGGTACGGACTAAGCAGACCGGTAAGAGCGAGGAAGTCAAGGCATATCGCCGCCCTATTCCTCTTGAGCTGCTCGCAATTCGTGAGATGGACGAGGTGATTCCCCAACAAGGCATGAAACGCTCGTCTTCAAGCCTTTTGCCTGCATTGCGAACCAACAATGCGGACAACAAGAGGGAAGCAGGGTGGCCTATCACCTTCCGTCATTTGGGCAAAGCCGGCTATGAGTTGACAGTATATGCCGCAAATCAACAAGCCCGCAAGAAGTGGTTGGAGCACATTGACAGCTCGCAACAGCGCTTGCGCGGACGCGCTGATTTCTTCAACACCACTGTCATTTCGAGCAACTTTTTTGTTGGTACCAACCACGTCAACTGTGTTGCACCTTATGGTACGTTTCGTTTTGTAAATTACTCGGTGACATTGCTGACATACTGCAGACGGCGGTCGTAAACTGCTTTTCGGCACTGACAACGGCATCTACCTGGCTGATCGCAAGAACAAGGACCAAATACCAAGACGCGTCCTTGAGACGACCTCAGTCACCCAAATCGACATCCTCGAAGAGTACCAGTTGTTGCTCGTCCTGTCCAACAAGACACTACTATCCTACTCTACGTCTGCTCTGAATCCCGACGAACCTGCCTTGTCGAAGAGGCCTAAGAAGATTCAGAACCATTGTAGTTTCTTTAAGACGGGTATCTGCCTTGGTCGCCACTTGGTGTGCTGCGTCAAGTCCTCTGCACTTTCGACTACTATCAAGGTGTTTGAGCCCAACGACGCCATGACCAAGGCCAAGAAACAGAAGGGCCTAGGCAAATTCATGAGCAGCGGTCAGGATGAATTGAGACCCTTCAAAGAGTTCTACATCCCTACCGAGTCAACATCGGTGCATTTCCTCAAGTCGAAGCTTTGCGTGGCCTGCGCGAGAGGCTTTGAGGTTGTGTCGCTCGAGACGCTTGAGACGCAGTCACTGCTTGACCAGGCTGACACATCGCTCGACTTTGTCGCCCGCAAAGAAGGTGTTCGACCGATCCACATTGAGCGACTCAATGGCGAATTTTTGCTCAACTACTCCGAGTTCTCGTTCTTTGTCAACCGCAATGGCTGGCGCGCGCGACCTGAGTGGCGTATCGACTGGGAGGGTACACCGCAGAACTTCGCCCTCAGTTATCCCTGGATTCTGGCTTTCGAACCCAACTTTATCGAGCTACGCAACATTGAAAACGGTGCTATCCACATTGTGCCCCACAAGAACATTCGTATGCTGCACAGTAGCACGCATGAGGTGAGTTTCCGCCCTTTTCTCTTGCATTAATCTCCCTTGCTAACGTCTTCAGATCCTCTTCGCATACGAGGACGAGCGCGGAGAGGATGTCGTCGAAGCCATTGACTTTTGGAAGAGTACGCAAGCGCGCGCAGACGTATATGGCTCCCCGCCCTCCTCGCCAGCCGGTATCCCGGGCTCAGCAGCGCGATAGGACCAGCCCAGCCCGGCGTAGGAAGAGTGCTTATCGGCGAGAAAGAAGCACGAGCTCACGGCGTCCCTGGACGGCGTGCGATGGCACCTCGGTTCGAAACGCATCACGCACCGCGGACCATCCAAGGCTGCCCGCAGGGCCACGAGTGAACCGCGTCTGTATGCGGCAAAGGAGGAGGCGCCGCCGCGCCTAGCGATGGTTGGCCCAATGCGACAGAGAGCCAATATCGCCTGGTCTGCCGGAACAGTCCGAGGGTCCGGGCCTTTTTGCGCTTGTTCACGATAGAACGGAGCCGTAAGGCTAGATAGACGCTTGTTTAATGATCACGAGAGCGTGCGTATGGTAGAGGCGATGGAATAGGGCATTGTACTTGTTAGGTAGATTAGCGTTGACAGACGGTTGAAGGGCACTTCTAATTTGATGGCATACTGCGGCATGCATAGTGAATACGGAAGAGATCTGATGGATGAAGCTCCTGCGCTGTCACTGAATGGTGCTCGATCTACTCTTTATACTCGTGGACCTCCGAAGCCCGCAGCTAACCTGAGATCGCCATATATCTTTTCTTCGCGCTTCCCAAAGGCGTTCACCAGGTGTCCCTCCTTGAGGTCGACAGCGCCCCATCTCTGCTCCCTGTGATTCCGATCCTTGCCATCCCTGCCCTTCTCCCACACGCCCATGTCGTCGAGCAGCACCTCCACGATCGTCACGGTGCTGCCAGTCGGTCCCCGCTCCACATCAGCCACCGTCCTCGGAACATTTGTGCACAAGACGTGTAGATCGAGCATCTGCGCAAACACCAGGCCAAACGTCGGCTTATTCCGCCTCGCCAGCAGGGTGCTGTACCCGGGTATCGTGGGCGGGTTGAAGACGCTCCGCTGGGTCTGGTCGACCTGTGCCGGCTGTGTGTGGTGCGCGCCTCGCTCCACCTCCGGGGAGGAGGTCGAGTTGAGGAGGAAGATGAGCGGCGACGACGGCAGCGTGCGCGCGAGGTAGCGCAGATGGGACGATAGGAGTTGCCAGGTGGTGTGAGCGGCGGAGGAGGAGCGATGCATGAACAGAGAAGTAAGCAGGACGCCGGTGTGCGTGATGATGATCATGTCCGGGCTTCTGTCGGGGCTGGGAGCGCCTTCGTCACCATCATCGTTGTCGTCGTCTTGGCTGTCGTCTATCTCTGGCGTGGGAACCGCCGGCGGTGGTACCGGCCTGTCCAGCTCCGCGAGGGCCTCCCAGGCTCCGTCCATGTCAAATACACCAGCTAGCTGAATCTTGTCCATGTAGCCCCTGATGGCCTCTTTTCGCGCGTTCGCATCTGTCATCGTACCCAAGGCTGCAGTGAGGGCGTCACGTAGTGCCAGGAGGACCTCTGCGCGTGGTCGCGGCGTGATGATGAGCGCATTGTGGAGTGCGCCATCATGAAGACCTCTGGCGAGAGTTTGAAGCGCGAGCTGTTGTGTTGAACCGTGGTCAGTGTCGTGCCAAACAAGATGGACGATGCAACGGGAGGGCCTACTTTCACGGCAAAAGACTCAACTTCGGAGCTCACACCAACCACCGCACCGCGCTCGAAGCCGCCTAGAAGGACTTGATCGTCTATCTCGGAGCATCCGACGCACAGGCGACCGGCGTCAATATTGACATCGCGCCGTTTGATCTCATTAGATGCGATTATGTTGGCCGGTATGGGTTCCAAGGCGAATGCGGTCCTGCTAGTTGCTTGGGGCGATGATGCGTCCATCTATCGACCTTGAAAAATGAGGTGCAACATTGGGTGAATGTGAATGTAGAACAGTCGCTGCAATCTCCACGCACAGGCGTTTTTCTCTGTCGCGCTTTTTCGACTCAATACTGGCTTGAAGGTGGTCATGAAGTATTTGGATCTTTCCAGCAGAATATGACTAAGGACCATCCGCGGTAGGCCTGCACTGCGCTGCACTGGAGTACCTGGAACGCCTCATGATGACAGTCTTCATAACTCATGACGATTTACTATAGGTACAATAGAATAGGTGCGTTTGAAGTGGCACTGTACGACACGGCCATGACGTGCAAGCCTCGACATGAGCCCATGGGTTAAGAAAAAAGAAATCATCGTCGCGACAGCTCAGCTGCCCTCGACGTGTCCTCGTCCATTTCCACAAGAGGGCCCAAACAATAGTCTCGCTGGTTTTCCACTCCCGAGATCCATCCATCGCTCTGGCTGGCCTTCTAGGAGAGCGAACTTGAGCTGCGAAGCGACTCGTCGCTACGCAGATCCGGGTTCAACCTTGCTTCAGACCCAGAAGCGCTGCAGCTCTTTACGTGCCCTTTCTTACCCCCAAGCTCTACTTCCGGCAGCTTAACGGCATCCCCAATCTCCCCCAATAGCGGCCGTCCATGTGAGATTGCGTTCCGGGACATGTTCTTCAACTAAATGGCAGTGCCTGGATTGACAGGGGGGCTGGCCGGACCGCTGTCCGCGTTGCTGTTGCGCGGTCTGCGACCGCCCTTCAAGCTTTTCATCCTCCCTAGAAAGCCACTGGGCTTGCTGTTCTCTTCCAAGGCAACAACGCCGTCGGCCGTCGCCCTGCGTTCCAGAGCAGCACTAGATCCCCGCCGAGGCGGGCTGGTCGGCGACATTGCGCCTTCGCGGGAGCGCACAGTAAAGCTCTCTTCGCCTTTGCCATACTCTGCAAAGAACGGATTGGCCTCCACAGCTCCAGCGCTGGTGACCTCCTCGGCGCCGTCAGGGTTGGTTGCGCGACCCGGCGGGTACTCTCGGGGGGCTTTGTTTTTGTGTCGAATGCGTTGGGCGAGCGACTTCTTGCGCTGCAGCCCCATCTCTGCCTGGTCGCGGGCCTGCTCCTCGCGTGTTCGGGTAATGGCGGTCCTGGCTGCCGGTGTGCCCTCCAAGAACGTCGAGGTGCCCAGCCCTTCGCTCTGGTCTCCGTGAACAATCTCACCCCTCGCTATGGGGTCGAACAGTTGCGCTGTCCCTTGTCGGCTCTTAGCCGGCTTGTACGAGTAGTCTGTGAATGCTTCCTCTCCGTGTTGGCCCAAGAAAGACGAGTGGTCGGGCTGTCTGTTCACTGGCCCAGAACCACCGAGGGCGTTATTGAGGGAGCCCTCCGGAAAGGCTTGCATCGGCGCCCGACGACCCTTACGGTTACGGTGTGCGTTGAGAGCGTCGAAAGGCCCGTCGTGGTGAAATACTGCAGCCAAGTTAGCTCGTCATGCCAAGGTCTGACGAGAAAATTCACGCACGTCCTGTCCCGTAAATGCCGGTGGCGTCAAGCTGATCAATGATATCCACGCGTCTATTGGGACGTCCAGATCGGCTGCGCTGGTTTGGGTCGCGTTGCTCACGAGGCTCACGAGGCTCGCGAGTTTCGCGGGGTTCACGACGTTCACGGCGCTCTCCTCCTTCAGCGGCATCGCGAGGCTCACGCGGGGGGCGACCTCCAGCTTCTGCGCGCTTCTGGCGTTCGCGTTCGCGGCGACGGGCTATCATGCGTTTCTCGTCCTCAGTGAGGGGCATGGTGTCAAAGTCGGCAACTGATGACTCGGAGTTTCGACGTGGTCTTCGTTGCTGAGGAGGCGGTCTCCTGTGAGGCGAAGCGGAAGGTCCTTGTCGCACGCCAGGCGGTGGGGCCCTCCGGGCTCTCGCAGCCTCCTCTTGGGAATCTATTGGTCGATGACGGCGGCTGCCCTCCGGCCCTTCGTTTGCACCGTCAGTGCCCGTCGGCAATGCTGGGGCTGGCCGCATGGGGGGTTTGAGGTTCCTTTCGTCTTCGAGTGTCAATGAGTTCTAGGATAGCATCAGCTGGCTGGGCTGGGCACGGGGCCTTTGTAGAAACACACGAAAATCTCCTCGGCCGAAAGGGACTTGGTTCCTTCCGAGTTGTTCGACATGGCGCCGGGCGATCTCACCGGTGGCGGAGGGTTGTCGATGAAAGGGTTGCGCGAGAGGGGTCGCGCTGGAGGGTCGTCAAACGGTGACGCCGTGCGATTGCGAAAGGGATTGTTGGAAGAGAGCTCGAGATTGAGGTTCAGTCCTTCGGATTGCTGCGAGTCTGGATGAGGATTGAGTTAGCCAGCTGCTGAATAGTTCGGGCAGGCCAAATTCAATGTTGGGGAAGCCAGGGACACACAAAGAGGTAGGGTACGTGGCGATGAAACGAGCATGACAAGACCAAGGAAGCAGGGTGGACCACAGATAAGGGCAGAATGTTTCGCCCATCACTCCTTGACACAGAGGGATTCATGTTTGGCTCTGCATTTTCCCCCATGCCAGTCGTCACTGTGCGCCTTGGCGGTCAAGGGATTGCGAAGCAAGCAGCGCTAGACAGGAGCAAACAGGCCGTGCGTGTGTCGGGAAGATTGGCGCAGAGTCGTCGCAATTGTGGACGGGCTCGCGCATCGGACGTAAAGGGGTGGTCACATACCTCGCTGAAACCAGCCAGAGTCGGCCATTTCGCTCGGCTGGCGACGCTGCGCACGTTGCGGGCGGCTACTGTTTGCGATTGCTGTCGTGTTGAGAAGGTTGCCCAAGGTTCGAGGACCAGTTTGAGGTTGAAGTGCCGATGCAGGCTGGTGGGCGGACGGTCGAATTAAAATCCACAGGGGGCTCAGGACTGATGAGGGTCGGGCCAGGGGCAACAGGCCACAGTACCTAATTAGCGTCGCGCCGGCGGACAAGTCAGTAATGACCTGTCGATCAGGTAATTAGTATCTTCGGTCGCCTCGAACCGCGACGAAGCATTGATTTGAAAGGTTCAAAATGGTGAGCTGCTGAGTAGGCGTGATGTGAAAGCGTACGTAGTATATCTCGCCAATGTTTCGGCAATGGTAATTGCTGCTAGGGAGACGAGAGGTCGAATGCTGCTGTGGCCGACAAGGGTCTGAGGCGGGCTACTGTATCCGTGGTTCTGCTCCAGCTTCGGGCGCCGACAGTCTCTGACAGTCTGGCTAGTTCCGTTCGCGCTGGACGAGGGGCACAGGTGACTTGTTGCTGGGTTTTGCGGTCTTCAAGCGTGGTTGATTGTTGTGGGGAGGGAGACCAGGGATCTTGATAGGCCCAGCTGGCTGCGATTGTCAATGTGAGGGCTTGTTGAGATTTGATGGCCGGTGACAATGGGCTCGCAAGGACAGTTGTCCGGTTCTCAGCCTCGTCGCCTCGTAGGGGCGATGAAGGAGGCAGCAGGGTCGTGGGTGAAGGACGAGGGAAGACGGACAGACCGGCGAGGAGAGGTGTGGGTAGGTGTTCCCGGTGAGGAGTACGATAGCGTGCAACTCAACGACAAACGTAACTTGGCATCAATCGGAGATTCCGTGTGTTGCAAAGTGGTACGACGCGGTGCGATGCGATAGTGACAGAACCGGATGCTTTAAGAGCGAAGTGATTGACTGAGTGACCGAGGCTGCCGGCAAGTGTGACTCGGAGGGCTGAGAATGGGAGTGGCAGCAGACGACCAGAAGGAGTTCCAGAGTCGACGGTCAACAGATGACGGACGGAGATGGATGTATGTTCGTGGTGAACCATACTTGGAGCGGAAGGAAAGATGAACGGGTTCGGATTAATTAATCAGTTCCTTCCCTAACTTAGCTGGGGTAGTTCCATGTAGCTGGCTGGGCAAGAAGAACTGATTCCTTTGATTGACCTTGCTCAACGCAGTTAGTCTGTTCTGTCCTCCTTTCTTCCTTCCTCAAGGTTCATATGAGTGCCTCCAGTCCCCTTCAACCATGCCGTCTCTGGTTTCCGCGCGCAAGGTGATTAGACTGGCACTGGCTCGCGGTTATGGTCTAGACCACAAGTGCATACTACTAGTAGTTTGATTGATTAGGATGTCGGGGCGTGGCTGGGAAACTTCTTCTCTGGCCTGGATTAGGAGGTATGGACGCCTGGCGATCCCGTGCCAATGAGAAAACTTTGCTTTATTTGGTAGGCAGGTAGTTGTCCCTTCAACTCAATATGAACCATGGATTATCTTTTCTTCTTCCGTTTCTTTTGTTGGCTTATTGGTGAGATGTCAAAAGGAAGCACATTGGTGTACCAATCATATATCAATAAAGGCCACCCGCTATGATGACCCCTCTCAGCGAGTCAGCAGGGCCGCTACCCGCCGCGTTTGCTGTCCAGTCGTCAACGTCAACCGCAACCGCTACCACACTCTGGCATGGACTGGAGAGCCTTGTCTGAGAAATTAGACTATCAGAGACCCAAATTGTGGTGTGCTCACATGCACGCGTCTCGATTGCAGGTGGATGATTCCAAACCCTCTTTCTTGTGTTACGGGCACTTTGCCCGGTGCTCCAGTCACCGGTTAGTGGGAACTCGTATTGCCCAAGGCCAAGCAAGCCAAGCGAAGCAGACTAATATTAATGTCCAGCGCGGGTATGCAGCGCAGAGTACCAGCATACGATTCATCCATCAATACCTGCAGTCTACTGTTGCTCCCTCAGCAAGATACCTACGATTATTCCCTATCGAGATCAAGTTTCATCATCGCTTCGAACCCGCGAGCAACGGCAAGGTGTCGCGCGGCATGCTTTTTCCCCGAGGACCGACAGCAACAAGTCTCCGCATGATCTGGCGCGGCGTCCCTGCAGCCAGCCGCTCCTGAAGACTGATTGATTAGCGTCATACAGATCTGATCTTGCCGGATCGCCCCAGGTTGAATAATGACTTGCTGCGTATTGATTGCTTGCCTTAACAGCTTCCAAACCTCCAGCCAAGTCCATCCCTCAAAAGCGTGAGCCGATGAGCCGATTAGCCGTCCGCAGAGTGCTCGCGCTGCAATCATTTTGAGGGGCCTTCACCTTGTTGAACAGCCCGGCTTCCGACAACGTGCAGTAGGGATGATAGGGGTATCCATCGACCCCACATGGGAACCGGAGCCTGATTACGCGAACAGACCAGCACTCGCTTCACCGCCTCTCGCGTGCAGTCTTTAGCTCAACGGTTCAGCAGAGAGAAGTCCCGGGTAAGTAAAAGATGGGAAACGATATTCCCACGCAGAGTCCGGGAGATATCAGATGTTAGACCTAGTATCCGTACTCCGTATCCGTAATTCATTCAAAGTCGGGACATAGTATGGGGTTCTGGGAATCTGGGCCCCTCCCTCACCCCCTTTTCTCGAGGACCCTGAATGAGGTCACGTATCCACCCGTCCGTCATTAAAGCGCCCACAACGCGCAAGGACCCGGGTCACTCGCGTTGACAAGTCCGCAGTGAGGGCCTCGGTCAACAAAACCTACCACGGCAACCTCAATGGTTTGGGGAGATCAGAGCCCAGAACCGCTTCAGCGGTGCCAATATCCCCAGCACCCCCCGGTGCCCAAAACTCTCCTGTTTTGGACATGTCGAGCTCCTCGACCCACTGGCCCAGACGCTGAGCCGCTTCATCGGGTGAGATAGCTGGTGTGGCTTTGTTAGCAACAGCTCAAACGTCCCTTTGGACCCAGTAGCTTAATGAACAACATACCGCCTCCAGCATCCCAGTACTTGTCGAATCCGACATTCCTGGTCATGTCTGTCCTCATGAACCCCGGGTGCACCAGGCTCACCACGATGCCCTGTTCCTTGAGATCCAGGCTGAGCAGCTTCCCAGCCATGTTCAGCGCCGCCTTGCTAGCGTGATGACCATAGTTGCCGCCGCCCTCGCTCTCGTGGCGTAGAGCGATGCTGCCGGCCTCGGACGAGACCAAGAGCACCTTGGACCCTGAAGCGAGTAGGCCAGCTTTGACGAGTCTCTGGACGATGAAGACGGGGGCGATGGCGCAGGTTGTGTACATGAGCTGTTGTTCGTCCCAATCAGGCCCATCTTTGAAATCCTCCGTTGCGAAATAACCAGCAGCGATGATCTTGGAGATGTACGGTCAGCATGGATACGGTGGCTGGAGCGGGCGTTGACGAACCGCGACGTCCAGTGCCTTTCCGCCATTCGGTAGTTGTTTGACGATGGTGTCGCCCACATCTCGCTTGGTCAAGTCGACGCCTGTGAGACGTTTGGCATTGTCCGGGTAGTCCTGAGGGTGACCAGAGCTTGATCTTGCCGTAGCGTACACAGTCGTGCTTGACGACGAGGTGTAGTGCTTTACCAGACTTGCGCCCAGGCCGCGCGTTGCCCCTACCACGAGAATACGAGACATTCTGCCGCCTGATTGATCTACCTAGGATATAGTACAAAGAAGAAGAGAATGGGCTGGAGGAGGTTTAGCTGTGAGATTTCAAGGTACCTCGCAGGTATGATAGATGTCGTGATGTTATGAATACTGATGTAATCTCAAAGAGGGGTTCGACCTTGACCTGTTCGACGACGTCAGCCAACTACTTACCCTACTATCCAAACCAGAGCCACATGATATTGCCAGGAGCATTTCGGAGATGAGGCTCAAATCGCCACTGCATTAGCATCACATCAATAACTCATACCTGCGCATCACCCGTTTTCATGGCCACAAGTCACAACATCCAGTCCAAGGCGTTCCGACATCACAGTCACGAAGCGCATGCGTTTGCCTAAGGACTTTCGTTTACGTCCCGAGTACAGATCTATGGATTTGATGTTGCCGAAAGACAAGATCGTTCTATAAGGTCGGGACAGCCATGTAGGCAGGGCGTCAAGGCCCAACTGATCCGCGTTTCTGCAACGGAGACTGCACGTTGAACTTGAACGTAATCTACCACGTATGAAGCATTTCTCATGTTGAAATGATATTGCGACTTGCTCTCCTCAAAATTTTGTCGGAGAAACACCTTTACAGCTTATAGCCCTTGACAGCCCGCTGGAAGAGCTGCCCAGGGTCGTACCTGTGGCTGACGTCCTTGAGGAACTGCAGGTTCTCGACACCGTAGCTACTCATCGGGTCTTGGAACGAGGCAGCGTAGTTGGCGAACTCAAAGGGGTGTGCCTTGCCCACAGATTGGGTGTACTCCTGGATCCTGTGGAACCACAGCTCAGCTGCATCCCGGACGTCGCTATCGTATTCGGAGTCCTCCCAAAGAGGCATCAAGAAGAGGACTGGATTTGAGTATTAGCACCAGGAAATCCAGAGGGAAGACATGTAAACTCACCAAGAAGGTCCTTATCAACGTCGTCGAGGCCCATGACGTTACCGCCAGCAGCCTTACTGGCTTCGAGGAAGTGGCGGGGCAGGGGCTCAAACTGAAAGTCCCAGACGAGGTTCGGAACGTGAGATAAAGTCTTTCGAACTTCCATGGTGATGTCAAAGGCAGCCTTGATGACATCAAGGTCATTCTCAAAGGTCACGTCCGCCATCAGAACCTGGGTGACGGGAGGGATGGAGCTCGGATAGTCCGCGATCGATGTCTGATATACCTGATTGAGAATCTTTGGCTCCATGTCAAAGAACGTCTGGAGGGTAGCGTGGTCATCCTCGGCATCCGTGTCGATCAACCAGAGAAGTATCTGGCCTTCGCCCTCGGCAGGAAGGTAGTACTCGACCGTCAGGCCAGCATTGGCAGCGAATCCAGTCGAGTCGTTGGTAAAACGCTGGAACTCGGCCAGAACATTGTCACTGCTGCTCTCGGGGACAATGACGAGTCCGCCGTATACTTGCTGGCTGTGCGCAAAGGCAGCAAGGTCTATCTGGGTGACGACGCCAAAGTTGTTACTGCCGCCCTTGAGAGCCTTGAAGAGGTCCGGGTTGGTTTCCTTGTTGGCATTAACGATCTCGCCCGACGCCAGGACAACCTCAAAGTTGATGACCGTATCAGAGACAAAGCCATGCTCCCCCGAGAACCACCTAGGTTTTGTCAGCCTTTGTTCGCTAGCACAAGTATTGAGCTGCGCGCGGGGGGGGGGGGGGGGGGGGGGGGGGGTTTTATTGGGTTAGATGCCTGGACCCCCCCCCCTAAGGAAAACCCAAAAAAACCCGCCAGAAAACCAACATAAAAGTTTTGGTTT